AAAGAATTTCTGTTTTCTGTTTTTCTTTTCCTGAGTCAGGATGTTGAGCTTGCTTAGCCAAAGACCACCTTGAACTTCTGGTCCTCCTCCTTCTGTCATCCAAGTGCTGTGATTTCAGGTGTGTGCCCTCATAACAGGCTTTTGTAGAGAACTGATTTCTTAACATTAAGTCTTTAATCCACAAATATTGTTCCCCTGACCACTTACGGAGGCTCAATAATCCAATTAATGATTTAAATTGTTGGTTTTAGTAGGATGAAATGTCTCCCCTTTACCTAATTCTATAAACGTGGTGCTAAGAAGTCTTTAGGTGGTGTTTTGATTTGGCTCTGGAGATGAGTTTGTCACCTCATGGCTAAAGTAAATTGAGAGTCTAAAATGGAGAATCTGCCACCTTTTAACTTATTTTTTTCTCCTTGCTGCTAAGTAGAGGAACATTCTCTACTTAGTTTCTGCAAGACTCTTTTATCACCTGCGTTTCATTTCTGAGTCACAAATATTAAATGTTTTTGTGACTCTTGGTTGTGTCAACATGACTGTTTCCTCTTTTCTGGCCACACGTGAAGAGGAGAAGTTGCTGTGCTCACACCCAGCCGCCCGAAGCCTGCTGCAGCTGCCTGTTGCCACGTGTGCCTTGCCCCTGCCTTCTGCAAACTCTCTGGAGTGTGCTTTGTGGTTAACCTGAAGAAAGGCAATGGTTTTATTTTTATGTTTAATCTTGAGACAAAGGGCAGGATGTACTTTTACACCTTAGGTCAAAGTTACTTTGATTCTTCTGCTTTGAATATGCTGTGGACATTTTTATTATCTAGATAGGTTCTGGGTTTGAATTTTCATATTTAATTTGGAGACCAGGTTTAGACACAGTACTTTAAAATAGAAAGGAACTTTTTTTTTTACCATCAAATTAACATTTTGTCTTTTTACAAAATAACTTTCAAAATATTAAAGCAACTTTGAGGTTTTTTTAACTTTTATAACTTACATGTATTAAATATAAAACAAAGCAATGAAATATAAGTACTCTGGGGAATCAGTTGTACTGAAATTGACACAGAAAATAATTAGGAATTTATGCTGAAAATGCATATTATTGAAAGTTTAAAAATATACTTTGAAATTCAGAATGTGGTGATTGTATATGGATTCTAATTATGTCAAAGTATTTGTTGCATAGAATCATCTCAGGATGAGTCATTATGGAACATTCAATTTTCTAAAAAGTAGGCTAAGAAGTACAGCATTGACTGTAACCATGCACTCAAGGGTACAGAAAAATTGAGAATTTTAAAAAAGATTTATAATTTTCATGTGTATAAGTTTTTTTTTCTGCATGTATTTAAGTTTACCATGTACATGCAGTGTCCTCGGAGGCCAGAAGACAGTATCACATCCCTGAAGCTGGTGTTAAAGGCCGCGGTGAGCCACCTTCTAAATACTAAGAACTGAACCTGGGCCCTCTGGAAGAGCAGTCATTTAGTCCAGTTCTCTTGCTGTGATAAAACACTATGATTGAGCTGGGTGGTTGTAGTGCACACCTTTAATCCCAGCACTCGGGAGAAAGAGGCAGGCAGATCTCTGTGAGTTTGAGGGCAGCCTGGTCTACAGAGAGAGTTCCAGGACAGCCAAAGCTGCACAGAGAAACCCTGTCTCAAAAAACCAACCAACCAGTCAACAAACCAAACAAAAACCCACTATGATCAGGAGCAATTTGTAGAGGAAAGGATTTATTTAATTGTAAGAGAGTAGTCTATCATTCAGTGAAGTCAGGGCAGGAACTGGAGGTAGGAACTAACGCAGAAGCCACAGAGGAGTGCTATTTACTGGCTTGTTTTCTCATGGCTCGCTCAGCCTGCTTTCTTATACCATCCAGGACCATGTGCCCATGGGTGAGCTGGGCCTACTCATACCAAATCAGTAATCAAGATATTGCACTACAGACTTGCCTACAGGCAAATCTTCTGGAGACATTTACTCATTTGAGAATCCTTCATGCCAAATGACTCTAGCTTGTGTCATGTTTATAAAAAACTAACCAAGACAAACAGCAAGTGCTTTTTAACTGCTGACCCATCTCATCTCTCCATCTCCCAAAGTTGAGACTCTTGGCAAAGAGCATTGAAGGTTCATAACATTTGCATTGTGGTCTGGGAACAGTTCCCAGGGGTCAGTGTTAGATCTACTCAAGCGGAGTAGAGCCATGCCATTTTCTGCTCCTCTCTCCTGAGTTTGATTTGGTTCCTCAGTTTCTTCATTCCTGTGTTTTGATTTTGAGTCTCCTTTTGGTTGTTTGGGTTTGAAAGCCTCAGAGGTGTTCTGTTTCTCTGCTAGGTTGTCTCCTCCCTTCCTTAACTTGGAGAACTTCTGAACAGCCTGGCATGCTTAAGAAAGCCATGTTTTCTTTCCTTCAGAAAGTTGAAAATACAGTTCTGCAGTCTTTTTGCTCTCACTTGGTATTTCTATGCAAAGTTTCTAGGAGTAGTCTGATGTGTGTGCTGTGTGACTTAATTGCCCATATAGTTCCCCTTTCTTTTCTTTTCTTTTTTTTTTTTAAAGATAGGATTTCTCTGTGTAATAGCCTGACTGTCCTGGAAATAGATCTGTAGACCAGTCTGGCCTCAAACTCAAAGAGATCCTCCTGCCTCTTCCAAGTTTTGGGATTAAAGACGTGTGCCACCACTGCCTAGTGCTCATATAGTTCTTAATTCTTAAAGTCCAGCAGAAATATTCCCACTTGTGTGTCTGAGTCTCAGTATGCCTCTCCTACAACTCAGTAACCTTCACTCCAAACTCACAATATGTAGTAGAAGAAAAACAGAGACCAAGGAACACCAGGCACACAGTCTTTATCAAAGTTGTCTGGTAGTTATGGATAAAAATATAAAGTAGTAAAAATAAGGCCTTTGCTGTTTTTATGAAAAGCTTCCTGGAGATACTCAGGCAGGACTTGGTTTCTTAAAATGCAGGACAGGCGCCTTCCCAGACATGGGGAGGTGTTGCGTTCCTTTCTAATTCTGGATGAACAGCAGGCATTTGATACTTTGCTCCTTAAGTATCATGAAATATGTCTAGAATTTCCTTTGCAGGATTACTTTCTCTGTGACATCTTTAGCCCTTATGACATAAGGAGTTTCTTAAGTTACATCAGTAATATGGCCAATATTTCATATAATTGGGAAAGAATGAATTCTTTAAAAAGTAGACTTTAGAAAATTGGCCTTTGGGAGAACAATAGTGTTAAACATTAGAAACAAAATAGATTCCAGATAGAGTAACACTTAATTGTAGTGTCTATGGTGTGTGTGTGTGTGTGTGTGTGTGTGTGTGTGTGTGTATGTGTGTGTGTATGTGTGTGTGTATGTGTGTGTGTATGTATGCATGCATGCATGTGACATTTCTAGGGCCTAGAGTAGCCTGGTGCAGAATTCTTGGAAACCAGAAACCATGAAGGAAGAGATGATACTTAAAGCTTATAGTGAAAACACTACAAACAAAAATTAAAAACTAAACAAAGAAAGGATAAAAGATACTTACTTGTTTGTATATAACAGTCAGATATTTATTGAGTCTCTTGGCAATAGAAGTAGCCATTGGAAAAAGAAGCAGTATAAACAGGCATTTTTCCCAAGTGGTTGATGTAAAAAGGTGTGTATCCTTTTTAGTGGAATTTGAGACTTTTTAAAAAACGAGCTGATTGGCAAAAATCTCCTTGATTCGTATCTATTGTTAAGTGATCCACAGAAGTAGCACATGTATGAAAGGTGAACATGTCTACGGATGTTTTTAGATCATTCTTCATGTTCATCCATACCAAAGTAAATAAATGTATCTGAACTATGCAGCCTTCTGAGGAGCTGGGCGTGGGTATAAGAGTATGGACTTTAGAGTCAGGTGGCCAGGCTTTGAGTTCTGAATTCATCATGTTAGTTTTTCAACCTAGCCTTACTTGATTTCCTGGGGCCTAGTTTTCCCTGTGAAGTAAAGACAATTGAATCTCATTCAGAGGATTGTTGAAATAATTAAACTCTTTGATGTATAGAATAGAGGGTAGAAAATAAGTACTCAATAAATATGAGTTATAATTTGACTTTGTTATTAAAGTATTTCTAAAACATTCCAACATGCTGGGGTGGTGGAGTTACTTAGGGACTTGCTTACAGTTTCAGAGGGTTAGTCCATTATCATCACACCTCAGTGACACACACCTCCTCCAACAAGGCCATAGCTCCTAATCTTTCCCAAACAATTTCACTAATTGGGGACCAAACATTCAAATATATGAGCCTATGGGGACCGTTCTTATTCAAACCACCACAGGGTACCTTGTATTTTGAGTAAAATATAAAACAAGCTTGAGACCAGTGAGTATAGATGATAGTAAGCACCTATTTGTGAATACAGTCTCTGGATGTATGTCAGTCACTAGTACAGTGCTTGCTTGCCTCGTATGCCTCAGGCCCTGGATTGGTGCACAAAGCAATGCGTGTCCATTATATGTATGAGAAACTGGAATATCCCTGCTACTGTTCATTACCAGGACAAAGGACTGTGTTCCCAAGATCCACTAAACTGATCTGAGTTTTGTTCAAGTCCCAGCTCTTATCTGGGCAGGGCAGTATGTACTTGTAATACCAGTTCTCAGAAGGCTAAGGCAGGAGAATTGTGGGTAACAGGCCAGCCTAGGCTACATAGTGAGACCCCATCTCAAAAAGAAGTGTTTTAAATGATACACATTCATATATTTGACTGTATTTAATACATGAATAAATCTGAAAGGCTGAAAACTGGTCTTAATGGTGCTAACTTTTAGGGAGTGAGATTCAAGGAGGGAAGTCAGATTATCGGTTTTTAAAAGAAATTTTAATACGTCAAGCATGCATTAAAGTTTAAATTGTCCATAAATTGTGTAGATAGTCCACCTTTTAAGTACCAATCCTATTCTCTAAATGGCGTCTGCTTTCTCTCACTTTCTTTAGTGACTTATTAAGGTTTTTCTGCAGGAACATGCTTACCCAGCCGATGAACTCATGCCTTTAACCTGTAGAGGCCGTGTCAGAGGCCAGGAGCCAAGCCGGGGTGATGTAGATGATGCCTTGGGAAAGTGAGTATGAGCACAAAGTATAGCATGACTTTTCAGAGTAGCCAAGTCCCACTTGGAGAGAAAATTCACAGCCTCATTTCTGGGGCCTTGCCAACTTTAAGTTCTTTTCTTTTTCATTTGTTTATTGTTTGTGCATGTTTACACATGTGGATGTCAGAGGACAATTTGCGGGAGTCAGTTCTCTTCATTGACCATGTGGTCCTGGGAATTGAAGCACTTTTACCTATTGAGCCCTCTCGCTAGCACAGTTGAGCAGATTTTAAAGAATGCCTTAAAAAAGAAAGAAAAAGAAAATCTGCTTTAAGTGTTATATTAAGGTCTTTTATTGTTTCGTATTCTAAACAAGTAACTTCTTATATCTGAGAAAAGTTAGCTCATTAAGCTGGGTGTAACGTTAAAAAACCATGTAACTTTGATGTAGTCTTTAAAATGTACATGAGGGCATCATCATGTTCTAAAGTGCTGCTGTAAATACATGTGATATATTATTGCTAATTACTAATTTATTCATAATGATGGGATTGGACCCCTAGCATTGAGCTTTAATGTTTTTTTGTTGTTTTAAAAGGAGCCGATGAAGTTTCAATGAATCCTCAAAGATACTAGGATGTTTCAGATTGTTGGGCTATTTTATAGATCACATTACACTGTAGATACATGGAGGAGCTGCTTACTAGAAATTGCAATAGGGCGTAGATAATTCTGCTTACACAGTCATGGATGAAGCATTTTAAGTTCTAGTGTTTTATATATATATATCTTGTTACATTTGTTTCCTAGGTTTTCCCTAACACTGATCGATTCTTTGGATACTCTTGTGGTAAGTTCCATTTTTCTTGGAATTACTTGTTTTATAGCTTTCATGATATTCACATTCAAGTAATATAAATATAATCAGCTTACTGTGTATAGAATGGAAGCCGAAAGCATTTAAGATGTTCAAATCTTTGCTTCTGGATAAAGCTTGAACTTTATTTACATAATACATAACATTGTTGAGTTATGTCAAATTATTGTCAAATGCTACATGTAGCATAGTGGAGATACTAAATAATTTATCAAGATGTCAGCTCCCATGGCTCCCTACCTTTGGGTAAGGAGGTTGAAGCTTTTGAAAGAAAGTAATTTAGAAGAATGCTTTGCTCTTCTTGTTCCATGATCGTATGCCTCGTGATGCTGAAAGTTTTTATGCTGTGCTCATAAGCAAACATTGTTTTTCCCAGCAGGACTTTTGGCTCTCCTTTTCAACCATATACTATAGAGATTATGCTAATTAGTATTAGTTTTCGAGTTGTTTGTGGTGGTAGAGGGGCCAGATTGTGGTCCAGATGCCAGGATTCTGGAATGCTGGCTTTCTAGTGTTTTTACCGTCAGGCCATTAAGACCATTTCATCTTTGAGGGTCTTCTTTAGGGGCTAATCCTGTACTTTAAGTTACTATTCCAAGTGCTGATTAATATTAAAAATAAAACAAGATAAAAACATCTTTCAAGTAGCAGGAAGTTTTACTTCCTGATAGCTTTTCTATATTTTCCCCTTTGGCACATTCTTAATTTTGAAATAGAAAGCTCACTGTGATAGCAGCTTAGCAAGCACCTCTGACATTCAAAGAGACAAATACCCACTCAGATTACTGCCCTGTGATTGTTCTGGTGAGGGTTAGTCCTACTTCCCTCTGATGTTAATATAGACATGCTGAAAATGGATTGCTTAGATCTTTCTTTTTGTGCTAGTGTTTTGAAAGTCACAACTTCACTTAGCAAAAATGAATAGAAAATACAAACTACATTTTCACAACTATGAAAAAGATACTGTTAGATGTTATATTTTTTGATTTAGTGGTCCCTGGTGTTTTTGTGTATCATAGGGGAAGAGAGAGAGAAGATACACAAAACATCCTGGCAGACATAAGTGTATGTTCTGGAGCGGTACAGTCTCCAGGAAGGTTCAACTGTCACCTAGGAGACTGAGGGATGTGATTTATGTGTAACATGCTGAGTGAGGCATAGGGCTTCTTTAGGAGGGGAGGGGAGGGAAGGACAGTGAGTGACAACACTAGAGGAGAGCTGGCATTTCTTCCTCATTCCTTCAGATAGCACATTCCCTTTCATTTCTCTCTAAAGTCTTAATTCATTTTCACGACTGTGCACTTTAGTTATCATTATTGTTTTATAAAATATCCTCAAAAGAGATAAGGTGTCTCTACATTGCATGATGTCCCTACATTTAGAAATCTGTCAACTTCTCTTATTGGGTAGCCACAAATTATTATGAAGGTATTATATCTTTTTTAAAGAGTTTTGCATTAGTACTCAAGGTAAGATGAGACTATGCTGGACTAGTAATAACAGCATTATTTGGGATCTAGTTAGAAATACAAGTTATCAAGGGCTTGTGAGATGACTCAGGAGGTGCGTTTTTCACCAAGCAGGACAACCTGACTAGCAGGGCCCACATGGTGGAAGGAGAGAATGGACTTACGCAGATTGTCCTCTGACCTGGACATGGACACTGTGGCATATGTGTGCCTACATACAAACACAGGCATACACACTCAATAAATGAAATACTACTTTACAAAATATTTAATTTCAGTCTTTTCAAGTAGGAATAGCCAAAGTAAGTACAGATCACCATAGCATTGGAAATGAGCAAATTCATTTTGAACTTTTAGTCATTATCTCAAGTATTTTCTTTTGATTTTAAACAGAATTGGAGAAAAGTACTTTCAAAAGTTTTCCTGCTTTTAGAGTGGGGATATTATCTTGTATGTTTTTATCAATGCAAGTATTAGTATTGCTAATTAAATTTGCCTTTTAAATTGTTTTTTTTTTAATTTGTGATTTAGCCATTTGAAAATACTAACAGAGCATATCACTTATAGTGATTAGTGTACAGAATCCAACCATCTTTATTGTTTGTGGCATAATATGTTAAGTCAGTTTCTCTTGCCATAGTTTGATTTTTAAATTTAAATGTTCAAAATACTAGTTTGACTTTTTGTCATAGAATCAGGCACTAAAACATTGCACCTTTACATCTGAAGACGGTGCACTCTGAAAAGACAATAGTTATGGAAACAGATTAGAAGCAATGGAGGGAAAGTAGAGGCCTAGAAACACCTTTTGTTACTTAGTAGAAGGTAAAGAGACAGATAAAGTGGTGAGTCTGTTAGAATTAATTATGTAGCTAGTCATGGGCAATGATAACCTCTTTTTGGAAGTTTGGCATTGGTGCTCCTGCGGTGTGTGTTTGGAGAAGCTCCTGGGTTCCTCAGGAGGGAAGTATAGCCATAAATTAGAAGAGTTCCCATTGACTTTGGCTTCAGGCTGCCCTAAATTTTACCTGAGTTAGGGAATTTCTCATACTTATTAGGATCAGATCAGATTTCAAAAATTACTGCAAAGTATTGTCAAACACAAAGATTGAACAGTCAAAGACAAACTTCTACTGCATCTAATATCTAAATCACATTTAACTATGTTACTAGATGGAAAAATGAAAGCTGCCTTTGTAATGGCAGTGACCCCTTTTCATTGAGCTCCTTCCAAGAACTACTGAGGCTTCCGTTGAGTCACGAGTTTGGGCTCGCATGATTATAATAGCAATGATATTAAACATTTGGCAGTCAGCACTTAAGTCAGACAGTCTGGTTCAAGCACTTTACACTCATGATCACATTCAAGAAAACAGCTCTGTAGAATAGTCCTCCTTCCTTTATGGATGAAGGAATATGCTCAGAGTTGGAAGTAACTTGATTTGAATCACACGTGACTGAAGTAAAAGAATCAGAACTCAAGCCAGGACCTGTCCTTTACCATATACTACATTGCTTCTTTTGCAGGTGGGACATCCATCCATAGGGTGGAGGCTTAGGCTCAGTCAGGTAGAGACAGTACTTTCTTCTGGAGTAGACAACTCCTTATGTTACATATTTATGTATTTGTTTATTTTGTGTGTATGTATGTGGGTGCAGGCACCACATTATGTGGTACAACTTGCAGGAGTTGGTTCTCTCCTTCTATCGTATGGTCTCAGGGATTAAATTCAGGCACTCAGGGTTGGCAGTGGGTGCCTTTACCCACTGAGCCATCTCACAGCCCAAGAGAGCTTAGTTTCTAAGATGGTGCTCAACGAGCAGGGTGACTGTTTACTTTGTTCTGATTTAGAAGTCAGATCCCCGTCAAGTGCACCTCGTGGCTCTAGCTGTAGACCGTGGACAATATATGCATGTATACAAATATTTGAGGAAGAAGAACTAGAAGTAGGAAAAGAAAAAGTTCTCTATATATCCCTCCCCGTCATCTAACTATTAAGAAGAATCTTTTTACCTGAATCACTTGGTTCTAGAAGTTTGTATTTTGGAATGTGTCATAGGCTTTACAGCCTGGGCATTCCTAGTCCAACAATCCAAAAATGCTTGAATACTTAAGATACTTGAAATCTGTAATATTTTGAATGGTGCCAGCAAGATATTCAAAACCTAAAAATTGTAGATTGATGCATTTTGGATTCAGATTTTGGGTTTAGAGATGGTCAGCTTGTATTGAGTCCAGCCTGAATTCCTTTGATGGGTCTTTTACAGCCCTGAAAGCATGTCAGTGTGGAAAGATGTACTCAACTTTTCAGTTTCAGACATTATCACATTTTTATAATATACTTAAGGGACGTACTATTTTGTATGGATCATTTTTTCTACATTGTAAAGTATGCTGACATTGATTTTAATCTCATTCATAGTATAATTTTTTTTCCTGACTTGGTAGAAAAGATTTTTATCTCGTTCTTTTCTTCTCATAGGTATTAAACAAAACTAAGGAATTTGAAGATGCAGTGAGAAAAGTTTTAAGAGATGTCAACTTAGATAATGATGTAGTTGTGTCAGTCTTTGAAACAAACATCAGAGTTCTAGGGTAAGTATGCAATGGTGGGAAAGCTTCAGGCTTATTATTTCCTGAAGGTAGTAAAGAAGTTTCTGTGTAAAAGATAAAATTTGGGGTGCGGGTGGGCTGGAGAGATGCCTCATCAGGTAAGAGCACTAGCTACTCTTACAGAAAATTCAGGTGCAATTCCCAGCTCCCAAGTGGCCACTCACTACCAATGGAAGTCTAGTCACAGGGGATCTGATGCCCTCTTCTGGCCTCTGAGGGTGCTACATGCATGTGGTGAACAGACATTCATGCAGTTGAAACACTCCAAAACATAAAATTTTACAAAAAGAAAAAAAGGTTAAAATTTGGACTCCAGGTATGGTGGCTCAGGCTTGTGATCCTGGCCCTTGGAAAGTATGGCAGGAGTAAGAAGTTTTAAGATCAGCCTGACCACATAGTAAGTCCCATGCCAGCCTAGAGTAGACCCTGTCTCAATACCTTCCCCTGTGAAAAAGATAAAATTTGGGGTGTTGTGAAACAGCCATGGGGATGATCTTGGATTATGCTGCAACGCACACAGTATTTGGAGAGACTCAGACCACAGGTGGTCCCTGACCGGGAAGGAATTAAAGGTTGAATACATTTCCTGCTAGTTACATCAGAGGTTTCCAGGAGGCTGCATTGGCCAGTGTTAGCCAGGAACCTCTGCAGAGAAGCCAGATGAGAGTCAGTTAACAGGCTTGCTCCTCAGACAGTCAGAAATGCCCTTGAGGGTTAAAAGTGTGAGATTATAAACTTAATTCATCCCAATGGTAGGTAAGTTTATGTTTAATAGCTTTTGCAATTCTCTGTCCCTTCTCCATGCAATGAGTTACTCTTCAATTAAATGTAAGAAGTCCTTGATAGCATCTTGAAGATTATTAATTCTTTTAATGAGGTAAAAGCTGTTTTTAATTTATAAACATTATAATGAGAGTCAGTTATTTCATGTTGATAAAATTAAAACTTTAAATTCATTTTAAAAACATTTAGCCCATTTGTTAAAATACATGTGATGTCTAGGATGTTCTCTGGTTTAAGAGAATGTAAGATACTTAAGAATGTATCAGTTGTTGTATGTTCTGATGATTTCGGTGACCAACTGGTAATAAGAAATTGCTGTGTATTGGGTCATTGGTGTGTACCTGGGCAAAGTGAAAAGTTAGCTTTGAGCTGAAAGGCTTCAAATCTAATATCCTTGGTGATGCTGTAGCATCGATAGCTACCTCCAGATAGAGATTTGCAGGTGACTGAGCTGCTAGGCACAGCGAGGGTAGGTGGGCAAGTATCTTAAGTTGTGATTGAAGAATTTAAACACACGACACATATTAAATTCACAAGTATATTGATTTTTGACTTTGTTTCATGTATATGCAATTGTGATTTTCAGTAAGATTGTGCCATTTTCCATCCTTATATATATAGTTTGTTCTATAAAGAAGATTTTAAGCTGCAACAATTGGCCTCATAACAGTGAAATTCTGGAATAAAACCAGAAATCTTGAGTAACTAAAAAAAAAAAAGATACTTAAGAATGTCAAGTACTTTATGATAGCTTCTATATTTGGGGGGAGGAGCATGCAGATCAGCTTGTAGGAAGGAGTCAGTTCTCTGCTTCTCCTAAGTGTGTTTTGGAATTTGAACTCTGATCTGAGCCTTCTTTCTAACCTCTAATGTTGGTTTGTTATATTGTTGTTCTTAATATGTTGGCTATGTAATTATAATAGTTTGTCATAAAATGTGTAGTCAGTAAAAAAGAATTACCTTATTCTGTAGCCGTTCCTTATGTTTACAAATTGTAGGGGACAGGTGTTCACACCCTTTTGTGTATAGTTTGTAAATAAGCGTAATGTTTTGTCTCTGTGATCCTAGGGGTCTTTTAGGTGGACACTCACTGGCGATCATGCTGAAAGAAAAAGGCGAGTACATGCAGTGGTATAATGATGAACTTCTCCAAATGGCAAAGCAGCTGGGCTACAAACTCTTACCTGCTTTCAACACTACCAGCGGCCTTCCTTATCCCCGAGTAAGTGACTATGAACAAATGGGACTCTGTTGACACTTCTTTGTTGTTTACAGGCTGAATGCTTGTGATCAGAGGTGTTCCTCTCCCACGTGAGCCTGGAAAAAGCTGGCAGCAAAGTTATGCTGATGTGTTGGCTAGCTTAGAGTTGAGCTGCGTGAACATTAGATTAGCATAAGCTTTCCTCAGCGTTAGTGTGTCAGTCTAGACGATGCTGCAGGAGGAGGCAGACTGCAGTGTGGGCCAGAGTTGTTGGTGCTGAAGTGCTGTGAGAGTAGGAAGTGGTACTCTCTCCTAGGCGGCGAGGCTGAGGAGGAGGTGGAGCTGGTGAGAAGGACGGTGTTCAGATCCAGGAGCAGGCACCGTGCAGTGGGCAGTGCGATAAATCCTAAGAAAAGAAGGAGGGCTGTGTCTGGGTGTGACCCTCACGGCCTGTCGTGGGGCAGATTAAGGAGGAGGAGGCTGCGGTGTGGGTCACTTGCTCTGGGGTTCCTTCTTTGCTGGTTCTAAGGAGACCTGGCAGTAGAGTCGGTCAAGGGAGCTATGGATTGTTCTGTCCTCCCAGAAAATTTTATCTTTAAAGCAGAGGGGAGGGAAGCCACTAAGGATGGAGTGAACTTTCTCCTGACCAACCTCATTCTGTATTAACACCACTTCTGTCCCATTTGTCCAAGTCAGACACAGGTCTGTCACTTTCCCTTTCATTTTGATGCTGTGCTATTAAAACATTTAATTTCATTCATAAGCTGCTATATTTTAATGTGGGTATTCTTTTCTCAGATGTATTATTCAGAGCACTTGTAAAAATAGTATTACTTAAACATATTTTTATTGAATTGTATTCAAAACTGTTGCATTTTCCCTGCTCCACTGTTCCTTAACATTGAGAAATCTTTATAGCTTAGCAGTAGACTGTCTAGTGTTCCCTAATAATCCTTAGTTACTTTTCTATTGTACAAAACACCAGGGCCAGGGTCACATAAAAGAAAGGGTTTAGTTAGGCTTATGGCTTCAAAGGGTTAAAGTCCGTGATGTCTGAGTGATGGCATGATAGACAGCAGGAACACCAAGAGCTCAGTCCCAAACTGCAGGCAGGCAGCAGAGAGCACACTGGGATGGCAGGAGGTTTTGACTCTTCATAAGTCAGCCCTGTGACATGCCTTCTCCAACAAGGCCATCCTCCTAATCCTTCCCAGATAGTGCCTCCAAATGAGGGCCAAGTATTCAAATGTGAGCCTATGGGGCTATTCTCATTCAAACGACTGCTCTCCTAGACCCCAGTGAAACTACTTTTCCACCCACAGCAGTAGATAGTGCTCTCACAAGCCCTAGGGACTTTTTTATTGCATTCTTTTAAGCTTACCACCTCTACTGCCTGGCATAGCTTCTCTGAGAGTTTAAATCAAGCTGGACTCATTTTCTGTAGTTAGGAAGTCATTGTTGACTGGGTAAATTCAGCAGCATGACCCAGGTAGGTGCTTTTCAAACCAGAGGTCATGTCCATTGATTTCTCCACAATTTTAGTATATCATGGTCTTTACCCCCTTTTCTTTCTGTAGGGCCTCCTGTATCTAGACAAGTGCTGTACCCCAGCTCCATCTCAGCCTGTAATGATTTTTTCTTTGATAATTTCATACATGTATATAATGAAATTTTGTCATTTTCATCCCAATTTCCTTCTCTACTCCCCCATCTCTTCTGCTGAAATATTTCTTTTTCTCAACAAGTGAAATTGTGACACTCATGCATGCATGTCCCACCAGGTTTAATTAAGGTTGTTTCTATGAGTGTGGGTAGGAGATTGTTTACTGGAGTGTGGACCTGTCAACATCCGCATGATGAAATTTTGACAGGCCCAGTCTTGTTCAGGTGACTATAGCTGCTGTGAGTTCCTGAGTGCAGTGGCCGTCATGGTCATATTAAAAACTCATGTATAAACCTAATCCATACTTTGTAATACCATTTATTCAAAGTTAATTAAATCTTTAAAGCTAATTCTTAGCTAAATATTATTGTTTGATTATGACCTGGACTTAATTATCTTTTTCTTCCTGAGACAGGGTTTCTCTGTGTAGCTCTGGCTGTTCTGAAACTAGACCTGTAGACCAGGCTGACTTTGAACTCACAGAGATCCACCTGCCTCTGCCTGCAGAATGCTGGGACTAAGGACCAATGCCCAGCTAATCTTTTTCTTAATTTTTTTGAGAATTTCACACCTGAGTACTGTTTTTACATCATTTCTACCTCTCTCTCTGCAGCTCCTCTAATGGCCATCAACACCCTCTCAAATTCGTGACCTCTTAAGTTATTCTTGCATAGAGAGAGCGAGCCTGTTGAGTCCATTTAGTGTTGTTCGTACGTGTATTTGTTTAGGGCTGACCACTGGGATTGAATAACTTCCCTCAGCTGCTCTTCTCCAACTAGGGGTGTGGCCTTGTGGGACTTTTTGAGTCTGTGTTGGAATGTCAGCAGATGTGTGGGTCTTGTTTAGGCAGCTGCATTTTTGAGATTTCAGGGGTGTAGCTTCCCTCCCTGTCATATATAGAAGACTCTGTCTCACAGCAGACTTCCTCGTCTTCTGGCTCTTCCAGTCTTTCCAGCCCCTCTTTGGCGATGTTCCCTGAACCTTTGCTGTAGGGGTTGTGTTGTAGATTCATCAGCTGGGTCTGGGCACCCCACGGCCCATTTTGACCAGTTGTGGTTGCTGTGTGGTCTCCATCTGCTGCAGAAAGAGCTTCTGTGATGAGAGTGAGAGCTGTGCTTGTTTGTGGGGTAAGGATAAGCACTTAGAATGCAGTTGGGAGTTATACTGGTCTAGGAAAGTGGCAGTAATAGGTTCTCTTTTAGGGCCCATGTTCTGATCAGCCACCTTTCTTAATTTGCAGTTACACCCATCCCAGGGATGTTTTAATCTCCTTGGTTTTAGCATTTTTTTAAAATATTATCCTTGATTTTTTTGCACTTATTTGTGACTTTCCATTATTATTAATTCTCTATTTTCATACCTATCCTATTTATTCTGTTTGGCTTTTAAGCTCCTTGAAGGCAAAGATATATTTCTTTGTATCTTATTATAATATCTACCATATAGTAGATAATAAATGTTGATTAGGGGACTGGAGGTGGGGAGTCAATGTCCTCAGTGTTGTAGCCACGGGGGAGTTCCCCGTGCTCCACTGGATAGTTCTGTACTCATGGAGGAAATCCTAGTTAAACTCAGTGAGTCACAGAACAAAAATGAAAAGACATGATAGCGAGTAGTGAGATGATTCGGTGCTCATAAAGGCTCCTGTCATTAAGCCTGACAACCTGAGTTTGATCCCCAGGATCCACTTGGTGGAAGGAGAGATCTGACTCCCCCAAGTTGTCTTATGACTGCCACATGCATGATGTGGCATGCACATATGTCCCTCCACAGACAATAATAATGAATGTAATAAAAGAATGATAGTGGGAAGAGGACTTCATGGGGGAAAGAGAATCAGGGTGGAGTAATGACTGTGGCAAATGTATTATATACGTGTATGAAATTGTCAAAGAATAAATTATTTATGAAAGCCTATAAACAAAATTTTAATCTCTTCTAAATATATACCATTATAGTCAAGTTTTTCTCTACGAACTGTTTAACATTGTACTTGTTTCATAAGTTGTCAAACTTAATTTCTCCTAAAGCTGAGCTACCCTTTTAACTATTATATTGTTATAATGATATTGCATTATTACATCATCAAGAAGGAAAATAAATGAGAACTTATTTACCCCATGAATTCTGTATGCTCAGAATTTATTTTCCTAGATGTTCATTGGAAAGCTATAGAGAGCCTCAGGTTGAGTTCAGTGTTCATTCACTTCAATAATTATTTTCATAATCTGATAGTCTTGTTTGACAGTGATTGATGATTTGTCTCTTGGTAGTTACTCATGGTAACATTCTCATTGTGTGTAGATTAATTTAAAGTTTGGCATCAGAAAGCCAGAAGCCCGGACGGGAACTGAGACAGACACCTGTACAGCCTGTGCGGGGACCTTGATCCTAGAGTTTGCTGCATTGAGTCGTTTCACAGGAGCAACAATATTTGAGGTTTGCTTTCATGGCTTTCATCTGGGGTTTAGGAAGAGCTAACTTTCTGTTTGTTTCCTTTAGCTGAGAATTAGGACTCACCATCGTAGCATTACTGTTGCTTTAATGTACTTTTAATCAAATTTTAGTGTTACAGGCATTGTGAAGCAGCTGTATTAAATGTAAGTTTGCCTTTTGTTTACAGACCATAAAATAAAATTTTAGCTTTCTTCTTGGAAGATTGTTTAACTACATTATGCAAATTTGATGAATTCTAGGTAGCAAAAATGTCCATGTATTTGTATTTTATTTGTTAGACTTCCAAATGGTTGGTTGTATTTCTGAAACCTTCACAAATAATTTGAACTTATAGTGAAATTTTTGTGTATAAGCTATGATCCAAAAAACCTGTATCACCCCAGATATTTTATTGGGGTCTAGTTCTGTCTTATATTTTAAAAAATCTAATGTAACTATTTGCTGTAATTTAATTATCATTGGAATGCAAGTGTTACTTAAATGCCCACTTTCTTAGATGTGTGACTTAGGTGGTTTTTTTTAAGTCATAAGATGGTCACATGGAGAGAGAAGAAGTAGGGAACACATAGCACCATTGCAGATACTGGCTAAGGGTGTGAACAGAGTCAGCAAGGAGACCCTGTGCTGTGCTTGTCTGGGTGTAAACGGATGCCTGTACATTCATATGGCTTGAGGACAGATTTATCAGCTGTGATTGATTAATATTTTAACTTTAAATTTTAAAATATACCTTATTGTCGGTAGCTTTCCTTCATTAAACAGTATAGGTACTTGTACATATGTTTTAATATATATTAATTAGATGTTTAATATATTTAATTAAATAGTAAATTGTTAATCTGAAATATTGATGCATTTATAGGCAAAAATGAGCCTCAGTTAGCAAGTCTGCAGTCCATGGGTCAACAATTGGAGTTGGGTTTAGAGTCCATCTCTTTACTCTTTCCATTGCCTATTCTGTTTTTCTATAAATCTGTTGGGGAAAAAAACCCATGACTTTAAAAACCTTCTAGTATGCCTTTGGCAGAACATCATTGTCGCAGGCTTTGAGCTGCAGTCAATTTTCTTTTAAAAATGATGTGAAACCACAGCTACGCTCACTCACTTATTTCTGTGTCTCTCCACTATATGAGAAATTGTGACCGACCAATAAATAGCAGTATGACCCACAATGCCTCAACTATTTTCTGTCTGTCCCTTGTCAGAAAAACTTTGATGACCCTGATATATGGAGACCAATATACAAGAAATCAGAGTTCTTGTATTAGGGTCCTATAATTCAATTTTAAGCTTTGTTTAAATCTGTAATTTTACTGTTCCTTTTTTAAAGCATAACATAGAAATAGGGAAATATAATCAGTATCATGCTTTTCAGATTTGAAAATTCACCACTTAGTCATAGTTGTGGTCTAGTTTGTTAAAATATAATTATAATGCATCATTTGCAGTAAGATTGTAGATGATTTGCACATTCTGTTGCCAAGCCTACAAAGTAACAAGTTAGGTTTAATGATTTTTTTGCTTGTAATACTTGGTAAGTTCATGCCCTAAAATTAATTTAGAGTTTTACCAGTAGAAATCATTTGCTATTCTATTTATAACATCTTTTTATCCAAAGCTAAGAATTTGATAAGAAATAATTTCAATTTAATATCCAGTGGGTAAAAATAAATTAAACAAGTGGTCATAAGATTATAATTTTATATATACATACGTGTGTTTTATATGTATATGCACATTAATATACAAATAAGTCCTCAGTAGCCTAGTTGATTTGCTAATTTTTCACTAATAAAATTATGAGTCACTTAAAATAATTTGCAATGGCTTTCAAAGATAGCACATCAGCTGTGAGTTTTCTTCAAGTTTGTTAAGTGAGAGTACCTTAGGAGATTCCCACTTTGCACTTAGTTGGTAATAATTGTTATGACAAGTGCATTTAATTATGTCAGTTAATATAATAATCCATGTATGGATGTGAGCCATGTTACAAGGGTAAATGCCGTGGAAATTCTCCAAGTGAAGTCTCTTAATCTGAAGTGGCTGAAAAAGAGCCAAGGCAAGATTTTAAGGAAATTTATACGTGATTATCTTAAGAATTTTAGAGTTTAGAATCTTAAAGGATTCTATGAATCTTTGATTTATAGATTTCGCCTTCTTTGCCAGAGACAAAGTTCGTCAAGTATGCTTTTGTTTTTTAATTGTAGGAATATGCAAGAAAAGCTCTTGATTTTCTCTGGGAAAAAAGACAACGGAGTAGCAATTTAGTAGGCGTGACTATCAATATTCACACTGGAGACTGGGTGCGCAAAGGTATGCAGCTGGGCTTTAAACCTAGACCTTCACATCCTCAGGATGGTTGGTAAATATAGCGTTTTCCTTTGTGAAATAACCGACGTAGCATTGTTTCATGCACTGGTCATATAGTGTTAGCATGCGCAGGGAGAAATGAGACACAGGAATAGATTTCTTTGAGGACTCAGGGATCACTTCACAGTTTAGAGGATATGTTTACTAATGTTATTACAGTCTCCCCTCTCTGCCTCTGTGTGTATGTTCTACCTCTAGACATGCAGTGGAACATAGACCCTGAAGTCTTACTGTTGGAATTTAAGCTGTGTGATCTTGAACAAATTATGTAACTTGTGTTTGTCTCTGAATCCATGTCTGTAAGATGAGGCATTAGTGCAACTGCAGAGTCACCATGAAGGTTAATGAGTTAACTTGGAGTCCCGAGGACCGTCCTGGGTATGCGCACTTCATACTTCCTGTGAGATGTCACTGAGATGGTATTAGTTCTTCTGTTTAATAACTTGACTTCTGGAATCTAGCCTAAGGAAATAGTATGAACCACAGGGAATTTTTTTCCAAAGATACTCATCACATATTTACTGGCAATACTGGAAAACAGAATTACGTGATAATAACATATTCTAAGTATTGCGGTAGTAAGTTTTTAAAGTTAATTGGAATTAGGGAAAGAAGCATAACAATGTTATGAGCGAATAAAATATGGTATCATATGAAGAATATTTTATGTTTTAAAACTCCCCTTTAAGACAAGCACCGAAGAATGGAAATATTCTGAAATGTTCTTAAAGAAGTTATCTCTTATGTTTCTGTTTTCTAAAAGGCTTACCTTGTGTATAAATAAAAGTAATTACCTATATTTAAATCAATAAAAATTATGTAATTATCAATCCATGACAATTAGAATAATGTTTATATTTAATAGTATATAAGTTTTCCTCTTTTGTTCTTTCCTGTATTCCTGCGTTATCTCCCTATTCTGTCCCTCTCTCCATCTGATCCTTCCATTTCAGCATCCTGCATCTTCCACTCATCCATAACTATCTACTCCCTTTCCCCTTTCTTCACCCAGGCCCTTAGTCTGTGCCCAACACCGTGGCTATATGGGTCATAGCCTGCTCTGGAAAGCTTGGTAGCTAACATCCGCATCTGAATGAACACAAACCATAGTTTCATTTGATGTATTCAAGTCTGGTTACCTCATTCAGATGACCTTTTCTTTTTTCATTGCGAAGAATATTTAATAACACAATTTATACAAAATGTACACATTGTAATATTCTAAAGAGTAGAGAGTAGTGCCAGGGTCTCATGTCTGGAGAGCTCCCGGGAGCTGTGAAAGCGGAGATGCGTCTCATAAACTCTCCTGAGAGCTGTAAATGATTGCTGTCATAGACATGCTACATAAGTAGTCTGTAGCCAAGAGCTAGCAGGATCTGCATTGTTAATCTTCTAGACCCCAAAGACAGGTGGGCAGGAAGCAGTTATGGAGGTATGCACCCACATACAAACATGCCATTGCTATTCCTATGTCACACATACATGTGTAATGTGTATCTATCTTTACACTGTTGAACTTGAATAATTTTCTTCTCTGTTTGTATTTTTATTATTAAAAACAATTATAATTTTGATCATATTCTTCTCTTTCCCCAAGTTCTTCTAGATCCTCTCTCCTCCCTACTCGCCCAACTTTAAGTTCTTTCTCAAAAAACAAACCAAAAATCCAAGACTACAACAAAAGCTAGAAAACAAAATACAACAGCACCCAAAAAGAAAGAAAGAAAAAACCTGTAACCAAATAAAAGTACATAAAAGCTGTGTAGTCCATTATTTGTTGGTCAGCTACTCCTGAACATTTGAGACCTACCCTGGAGTGGTTGATACACCCAGGCTTATCTTGTTTGTGTATAAAAAGTAATTAACCTGCACTTAAATAAATAAATAAAATTATTAATCTGGCAAATAAAATAAATGTAATGCTTATATTTATTATTGTACAAGTTTTTCTAAGTTTTGTTTAAATGGTTCATGAACTTCATAATTCTGCAATTTTTCTTGATTTTTTAAAAGATCTTAAATCATCTTTAGTCCACTTTATGTTAAAAAAAATATAATCATCCAGGATTCATTGTAATTCCTGATGTGACATGATCGCTGGTCCAGGTACAACCATCTTAATTAGTCCTTTTTAGTAATAAGTACTCTCTAAGGAGCACCCATAAGAGTAATCTCTGGACACAGTCGGGTGACATGTGGTCCTTGATTCTCCTCCCTCCCAAGTGAAGAAGCCATTATTTTTATATTGATTGTTGTTTTGCTTTTCTGTTAATAAAATTTTTCATTTATCCTAAAAAGTATTTTTGTTTTGTCTTAGCTTCATTAAAGAATAACACACTGTGTGTACCTTTGACACTTTTTCACTTAACACTGTTTTACTAAGACTCATCCTTATTGCTGTGTGACAACTCACAGCTTTTGAATGCTACAATAATAGACCAGCTTATGGACACTTAAGTTGTTTTCAGGGATTTTGCTAATGTGATCAAAACAACATTCTATGTAGGTTTTGTTTGTTTGTTTGAGGAAATCAAACCCAAGTCCTCACCCTACTTAGGCAAATGATCTACCATTGAGCTACATCCCCAGCCCTGTTCTCTTGTGTTAAAATCATATGCTTTTGGGGCTGGAGAGATGGCTCAGAGGTTAAGAGCACTGACTGCTCTTCCAGAGGTCCTGAGTTCAATCCCAGCAACCACATGGTGGCTCACAACCATCTACAATTCAATCTGGTGCCCTCTTCTGGCATGTAGGCAGAACACTGCATATGTAATAAATAAATAAATCTTAAAAAAAAACAAAACAAAAAAAGAAGTGTACAAAGTTAAAAAAAATCATATGCTTTTGGGTTAGAGTGTGATTTTTAAAATTGTCAAGCTGTCTTTATTCATGAGTGGTGTGCTGTCTTCTGTGTGTCTTCCTCCAGTTATGGCTTGTGCTTTCCCTTTAGGTTCTTTTTAGTATATAATGTCACATTCCTATTTTAAGAGCGTCTCCTTAATATGTTAGCAATAATTTCAAGTTTTTATTACTAAAATTGAAATTTGTTTGACTATATGAAGTTGATTGGTGTTTGTAATATGAGACACATTTTTCCCATTTTGAAGGATTCAGCAGTGTTTTCACTTTGCAATTTTTTATTGTATTTTTGATTCAGTATATATATGGTAGTACCTACTCTAAAATTTATTGAAGTATTCTTTTTGTCCTAAAACATGGACAGTTTTTGGAAATGTTTCTTATGCATTTGAGGAAGAATTTTTTTTTGCAATTTTTGTTTATAGAGTTCTGTACATGCTAGTTTTCTCAGTTAATTTTTTTGTTTTATTTGTGCATATTAATTGCACAGAATAATGGGCTTCATCATGACATTTTCATGTGCATATACAGGATCATGTTTACTCCATCTCTCCTATCCCTTCTCCCTCTTTCCTCTCTGTGTCCATAATAGTCTCCTTTTTACTTTCAGGGTCCTCTTCTGCTCCCTCTGCACAGCTGATATCCACATGCGATAGAAAACATACGACCCCTGTTTCTAAACAGCATGCCTCAGTCACTGTTCTGTGAAGAGACAGCATGTCTAAGGCAGCTCTTGTTAAAGTTAATTAAGGGCTTTGATTACAGTTTCTGAGGCTTAGTCCATCATCCCCATGGTGGGGAATATGGAATTGCACAGACAGAGAAATAGGTGAGAGTTGAACATCCTGATCCCCAGGCAGCAGGGAGAAAGAGACAATGGATCTGGCAAGGGCTTTTGAAACATAAAGGCCCATCCCCAGTGGCATACTTCCTCCAAGAAGATGACACCTACTCTAACAAGGTCACAGTCTCCAGTCTTTCTCAAATAGTGCCACACCCTGATGATTAATCATTCAAACATATGAGCCTATGGGGGGCCAGTCATTGTTACTCAAACTACCACGCAGCATAAATTAAATCTTTGTGACTGAAGATTTTCTTTACTGTTCATTTTTGAACACCCAGGCTGATTCTATAGCTTGGCCATTGTAAATAGTGCTGCAGTAAATATGAGTACAAAGCTTTTACTTTTCTCTGCCAACTTTGATTCCTTCAGATATATACCCAGGAGAGGTATAGCAGGATCATATGGTAGTCCTATTTTTAAGGTTTTCTTTCCCTCCCTCCCTTCCTCTGTCTCCCTCCACCTCCCTCCTTCCCTCCTTCCCTCCCTCCTCCTCCCTCCCTCCTCCTCCCTCCCTTCTTCTGACTCCCTCCCTCCCTCCCACCCTCCCTCCCTTCCTCTCCCCCTTTCTTTCTTTGACAATTTAATTAGAGTTTAAAAGAAAAACCCAGGGCAGACAAGCTGCAAATCTTAGCAGCTGCTTGGAGGATGATTTTTCAAAGGAAAGAGGAAAAGCTATGCTGTTTGATTTAAGCCAACATGGAGGTCAGCCTCATGACAGACAAGCAGCCAGATGGTGGAGAGGGGAGCTTTAGAGAAAGAATGAAGCCTAAAGTGTTAGGCATGCTTCAAGAGATAGAAGAAAAGGAACTTGAAAGCAGGCACACTTACACAGCTGACTGTGGTGCTGTACAGAAGGCAGGAATTCTGGGAAGGGCACATTATCTCATTAAAGGACTAATTATTCCTCCCATCTCTTTAGCATGGCTTAAGGCAAATCAGCTTTCATAAGGGGTGGTGCCTTCACTGGGTGATTGACCAACCCAACTGGATTATGCACAGGCAACTCAGGACAAGAAACCCAAAGCAGCATTTCTAGACACGCCCTTGGATTTCTGACCAGGAAGTATCAGAAGGGAGCTCTATCTTGTAGAGTGTCCACAGGGGTGGGACCGGATCTCCAGTCCAGACACTCATCCCTTCTGTGAACAGCTTTGGAAGTGGATCTCTGGGTGTTCATGGTGAAAGTGGGCTTTATCTGGTCTCCAGTCTCAGCTGTCTATGAAATGATTTTAGGATTGCCTCTTCAGAGAGGAGACTGTTAAGGGAAAGATATTTTCCTCTGGTCAGAAGACTGGAATCTTCAAAATTTTAAAATCCGTACTGAGTTTCATAGTGGCTGGACTAAGTTACATTTGCACTCAATTATCAGTGTAGAGAACCCACTGATTTTCTGTTTGCTTGACCTGTCAAGGATTAAAGTAGATGATTTCTAGTAGTAATTTTTCTGTCATTCCATTTTTGCTCTGTATTTATTCCATTGGGCATGGTGGATGCATTCGTTTTAGATTGCTGGCTCTTCTTGCTGACCCCTGCCACACTATGTAGTGAGCCTCTTGATCAAGTCCTTTATCTCCACCTTTTCTTGCAGGGTTTGTCAGGTACACCTCTCTCCATCCTCCTACTTTATCTTCTTGCAGGTGCTTATGCTGTAAATGTGTCATCTATAAAACTTGCACATATCTAGATGGAGTATATCTGCTTTCATATTTAATCTGTTGATGTTTTCATACATGTAGGCTTGTAGTATTTATGTTATTTCAGTATGTTGCATTTTTTCTGTTTTTTTCATTCTTTTATTTTTGATTGATACCTGTCTCTAAAAAGAGTGCACTCTCTTACCCTTTGTTCTTCCTCCCCGGCCCTTTTCGGTTATATCAATATGTAGTTCTGACTGATTATATAGTGTTTCTGTTTTCCTCTGGGCTTATTCTCTTTCTCCCACTCTCTCCTCCTTGGCTCCCTCCCTCACTATTTACATAATAGCAAACTTCATTGAGGTATTTAGTTACTTGCACTTCATTTATCACTTAAATGATGAATTGTCTCTTAATTAACTAGTCTCTGTATGTGTGGGTTTCCTTCACCTATTCAGTCACCTGTATGTGGAAAAATTTATGGGGGGGGGGATGCATCCATTCTAAACATACAGACTTACCGCCTATAAACAATGCAGTATAAGAAGCATATATATATATAGCATTGTGCTCTGTATTAAAATGAATTTGGAGATGGCTCAAAACACATGAGGCTGTACCACTTTGCACCATTAAAATGGTAGTTGAGCATCTTTGGATTCTGGCATCCCCAGCAGTCTTGAAACCAGTGTTGTACAGATAATATAGATGATTATACTTCATCCAGAACTATTTGCAGTAGCTTTCCCTGAGTACCGAAGCTGTGTTTCCCTAATAGTTGTTTAATATTGGAGTAATGGCTTACCTGTGCATGATTCTTGGTTTAAGTTACTTTCTATCAAAATTTTAAAAGGCAACTCTTGTTTTCAAACATCCTGTTAGAAATGTGATATTGTTTTTATTACTGTGTCCTAATATGTGATCTGTTCTTTCTTTCTGGAAGATTATAAATATCAAAGACAAAGAAAAACTTAAAACATGTTGTTACAATTTTAGGTGTAAGTTTTCTTTTTTTCCTTTCAGCACTTTTTGGGCCTTTTAAATTTAACATGTTTGCTTTTAATTGCTAACACTTGATTTCTTTTTTCTTTTTTTAAACAGAGTTCAGTTTTTTAGTTTGTGTTAGCTAAGTCACTGTTAACTTGTCCTCCATATAGCTTAGACATGCTGATATAATTTTTCTAAGTAAAAAAAATTGTAACCAATTTCATATAGCAACTTTTAAAAAACTTTTTGTAGCAAGGGAGCTGTTATTCATATAGCAAATAGAGCTATATTTTTTATAGGTGTACTGTTTTTATGTTAAAGCTTCATGCTAGCATGTAATTTTCATTCTGCTTTACTATTGTCCTCATTTGTACCCTCTGACTTTTCAGACATGTCTAATAAAGGACCACATTTATATGTATTTCTTGTAGATAGTGGAGTTGGAGCAGGCATTGATTCATATTATGAGTATCTGTTGAAAGCCTATGTCTTGCTTGGAGATGACAGTTTTCTGGAAAGATTTAATACTGTAAGTTGATTTATTTTTCTATTAATTTTGTAGCTAATTTCATTTGAGTTCAAGATTGATGCAAACTTAACCTAAATGAAGTCCTTCAAAGTTTATCTTTAAATATGTTGTAGTACTTTGTTAGCACTCTCTGATGTTGGACAGGGCAATGTGCAAGTAAAATGCACTCCAAGAAGTTTTCTTCTGATCTCTTATCAGAAAATGTCTGAATCTGGCAGCATGTGATCCAGTGCATGGGCAGTTACTGGAGTGAGATTCAGTTAGCGCTCACTTCTGGGTTCAGTTTTATTTGATTTGAAATGTTGCAAGTTTGGCCTTGTCTTTGATCATACCAGACAAGCAGGGTTTGGGTAGTATGCATTCATTTCAAAAGTGGGTGTCTTGAGACTGGACCACAAGAGCCACAGAGAAGCTTTGGGAAAGGAGGTGGTTGGTCTCATCATGGTTGCTTTTGTAACTGAGGCAAACTAAGGCAAATGTAGCAAATTGATTAGCTGTGTCACTATGATCATTTCAACACAATTTGCCTTTTTGTTTTTGCCCACCCATCAGTTCACCCACATTAGTATATGATGTGTTTTGATATTGTAGTTAAAAGTAGGAGAGAGATCTTGGTTTGCATCCTGTCTGGACTACATACTGGTTGTGTGAATTTGGAGTGGGTTACCATTATTGCTTATCTACAAAATGGGAATACTAGTGCTTTTTTTCCCAGGTGTTTGGGAAGAGTGATTAGAACATGGCCAAATACGTGGCATATTGTCAATAATAGTGATTACATACAGGATGAGCCAGCAAAACAGCTTATTTAAAGTCCTGTTAAATTGGGGCTGGAGAGCTGTCTTAGTGGTTGAGAGCATTTGCTGCTTTTGCAGAGGACTGGGTTTAGTTCCCAGTACCCCATGGCAGCTCACAACCCCCTTAACTCCACTTCCAGGCGATCCTGTGTCTGACTTTGCAGGCACCAGGCATGCACGTGGTACACAGTGTGGCATGAAGGCACTCAAACATGCACATACAATAAGAATAAATAAAGTTTAAGTCCTGGTAAGTTTTTGAACACTAAAAAAAAACTGTCTACATATATTATTTGCTGATAGATTTTTTTTCTTATTAGAAATGAATTAGAACAGGTAACTTTTTATTGACTCATTAATACAACCTGTCCTGTTTTCAAAGCCAATACTTATATAAGAGAAGCAGTTAAATAAAATAAGGGGAAAAGGAAATTCCACAACAGAAAAGCAGAACTGTCAGACCATAAGAGTGGCAGTAGTGATTGATCATGCACATTAGTTTATTAGTAGTGAATATCAGAATATTGTGTTAGCTGAGAAGGGAACCACACTTCTTAGATAAAGAACAAAACAAAACAAAACAAAACTGTAAGATGGAAGCTGTGATTTTGTTCCAAGGGGCCCAGAGAGCACCACTGGGCCACACAGCATCGTAACCATGAGCTGATCACATATTAGCTAGAGATGTTCAGATCTGTTTCTCTCAGAAGACCCTATCCCCACTTTTGCTGTGTATGTGTGTTCATATGTGCACAAGTGTGTGTGCATGTGTGCTGAGGCCAGAAGTTATGTTGAATGTTGTCTTCAGTTGTTGTATGCCTTCCTTTATTGACACAGAAGCTCCTCAGCAAACCTACAGTTCCCCAGTTTGCCGTGACTGACTGGGCCGGCAAGCCCTAGGGATCTCTGCCTTTAGTACTGGGATTGAGAATACTGTTGCACCTGGCTTTCTCCTATGAGTGCTGGGTATCCGAACTCATGTTCTCATGCTTTGCCGCAAGCACCTTACTGAGTGATGGATCTGCCCAGCCCCAGGAGGTCTCTTATTAATTGTTGTCTTTAGTATTCTGCCTTCTAAAGATAAAGGATCTTGTATGTAGCCTAGGATACCTTTGAACTCTTTCCTCATACCTCAGCCTCCTAGTACTGGCATTGTGGGCACTTACCACTGCACCTAGCCTCGTTTTCTTTAAATCAGATCATCATATTGGTAGATATTTGTGTAAATTGTGATCTGTGTGTGTGTGTGCGCACACCCATATAGTACATAGGTTTGAAACCTTGGCATGCTAGATGTTCTTCCATTGAACTATACCCACACTTCTGTATCTGACTGAGACAATCTATAGTGATATATATATAATTTCTTTCCATCTAAATACTCATATAATCAATTGACATATAGGGAATTTATATATCTACATATATTTACACTTCATTTCTTTACTGTGCCATATGGTATTTTTTTACATCTACTTTCATGAACATTTTGTTATGGTCTTTCAGCATTATGATGCCATAATGAGGTATATTAGCCAGCCGCCTCTCCTACTTGATGTACATATTCATAAACCAATGCTGAATGCTCGGACCTGGATGGATTCATTGCTTGCCTTTTTTCCAGGTTTGCAGGTAAGGAAACCCATTTCTTAATATTAGGATAAATTATTTTAATTAAGTGCATTAGTGGTCTCTAAAATCAAATGATAAAGTTATCATTTCAAGGTTGTACCAACCTTGTAATGGGATGGTTATAGATGAAAATAGCTCATGCTTTATACTAAGTGATTTTGTTGTTGACTTCTAGGTTTTAAAGGGCGACATTAGACCTGCTATTGAAACTCATGAAATGTTATACCAGGTGATTAAAAAACACAATTTTCTACCAGAGGTAAGTAAATGATATTTGAAATTCTCCTTCACATGCACACACACACACACACACCTATATCTATATATAATTTCTAATTTAAAGATAGAAAATGTCATCCTTAAGATGTGGTTACTCCTTTAAATTGATTTTTATCTTTTTGCCTTTTTGTGTGTTGGGCGGTCTAGTTTAAGATAATGATGATCCTGCTGTAAAGAAAAGCCCAATTTTAACTGTTTCTCAGCCTGTTTTAATGCATGCTGTTGTAGTATTACTACCACCACCCCTTGTTGTCTGGCTTCTTTTAACATTTGTGCATTGATGGGGAACAAACCCAGGCCCTTGCACATGCTAGGAAAGTACTCTACCACTGACATAGATTCCCAGCCCCAATTATGTCTCATTCTGACATTCAAAAAAAACCTTTATTGTTATTGTGTGGGAATGTGTGTGTGTACAGCAGGTGACTATGGGAGAGTGTACGTATACCACAGTGCCCATGTGGAGATCAGAGGGCTACATTTGTATAGTCACTCTTTGTCCTTTTACTTGTGTGTGAGTTCCAGGGATTGAACTCAGGTTGTCAGGCTTGCATGGCAAGCTTCCTGACATGCTAAGCCTTCTTGCTGGTCCTCATTCTAACACTGATTTTAAAAGATACTGATGGCATGCTTTATGGCTTTCCAGAATACACCTTTACAAATTTTGTAACATGTTCATAGCCTTGTTCTTTCTGTTTTCTGTGAAATACCCAAGCTTTCTATTAACATAGGTGTTTCCTAAGGCATTAGCTCTGGAAAGTATAGTTTTATTGGCCTTCAAGTGCAAGGCTTCCTATTACAAAAGCTCATATTCCTGTTGAATCACATGAGATTTCAACTAAATACACTGATCACAAATGACATTTTTTTTTATTCTTTTTTCGAAAAAAAAAAAAAAAAAACACCTGTTGGGACTGAAGAGATTCATGGCTTAAGAACACCGGCTGCTTTCCAGAGGACCGGGGCTCCGTTCCCAGCACCCCATGCCCTTTCACAGCCATCTGTAACCCAGCGCTAGGTGACCCAGCAGAGACAAAACACCCATCCACATAAAATAAGAGGAGCACTGTTGGCTGCTATGATTGCATTTTAAATAGGCAATTTTAATTTAAAGGAATTCCTTGATTTATTTTACTGAGATTTGAAGTTATTATAAAAGAAAACAGGCTACAATAAAATATACATACTTGAAAATACATGCACTAGAAAATACATAGATGAAAATAGAATAGGAAATACATAGAAGAGTAAAATTTAAGTGTCCTTCAAAAATGGTGTTAAATAAAAACATATTCATTGACTTGATTTAACATTTCACTGTGTGTAGGTATGTGAAAAAGTATGCTGTACATCATAAACACAATTTTGTCAATTAAAGAAATTAAAAGGAAATCAGAACACCACAGAAGTACTAATTCAGAGAGAAAAGGAAAGAAGCAAATGGACAACTCAGTTATTAGACAATGTAGGATGTATTTATTGCCATTATGAAGTGTCATTACTGGGTTTTTCTGATTTTCTTGTTGGTCCAGTTGGTTATTTAAAAGGTAATAGGGCTGGGGAGCTGATTGAGTTGGTAAAGTGCTTGCTATGTAAGGATGAAGACCTGAGTTTAATCCCCATGGTAGTGCACACCTGTAAACCCAGAGCTGGGGAGGCAGAGACAGGTGAGTCTCTGGGACTCACTGGTCAGCCACCCTAACCTACTTGGCAAGCCCCAGGCCAGCAAGACCCTGTTGCAAAAGGCAAGGTGGACAGCACCAAGGAACAACATGCAGGGTTGACCTCCACACGTACATACGCGAACACACACATACATACGTGAACACACACATACATGAACATGGACACACAATAAATAACTCATAAGCTTGGTTAAACAGTCTTTCTAAAATTGAATTAGTAACAATAGTTAGCATATTAGGAATGAAAATTTACCATGACTTGTGTATTAATTTATTTTTACCTTTTATACATGTTGCTTTGTACTCTAGAACTGCTTGCTTCATTTTCAGTCACATTTTTTTGCTTACTTATATGTTCTTCTCACAGGCATTTACTACAGATTTTAGGGTCCACTGGGCTCAGCATCCTCTAAGGCCAGAGTTTGCAGAAAGTACCTACTTCTTATATAAAGTAAGATAACTTACCGTTCCTGGCTTTCCCTACTTTTTGTTGGCTCTCTTGCTTTTATAATAAAAATTAGTATTTAGTGTTATAATGGTTGCATATTTCATTATTTGCATTCATTTAGCCTATAGAACTATACAAAGATGTAAGATTTGTTGTAAACTTGATGCCTTTCGAAAAGTACTTCTGAAAACATGGATGGAAACTACATCTCCAAACACCAGACATGGGAAATTGAGATCCCAACTATGCTATTAGTAAGCCCCTTCTGAACACTGTAAACATGTCTGCTGTAAAGAAGAGGGGTGATGAACAAAAAAGAAAACTTAAAAAAAAAAGAACTTCTATAAATATTTCTTTAAAGGGAAGTTTTATTTATGATCTGTATCCTGAAGTGGTCTCCTCCGTTGAGTCGGGGAGCTCTTTTAGTATGCAGAAATGTAAAGGTTGGGGTTTATTATTTCAGTTGTTTAAGGAATTCTATAAATCAAATCTGTAGTATATTTTCAAATCTGTGTCCTGTGTAACATGTATTCTAGTGCCCAGCACAAGGCCTGGCATCTAGTAAGCTCTCAGTAAATTACTGGATAAGTGAATGGGTATATGGTAACATATACGCTATGTCTCTATTCTTCTTCTTAATAGGCTACAGGAGATCCTTACTACCTTGAAGTAGGAAAAACACTTATTGAAAATTTGAATAAGTATGCTCGAGTGCCTTGTGGATTTGCTGCCATGAAGGATGTTCGCACTGGGAGTCACGAGGACAGGTAAAGAAGCACTTATTCCCTCTCCTCAGCAACAGAGCACAAAATACAGTTTTTGTACTTGGCTAGTAAACATCTATGGCTAATTGTTCGTGAGACCCATTATGTGCCAAAACGAATCCACACAGTATCTGTTCTTACTGATTAATCTACCCACCAATCTGCAGTTCTCAAAGTGACATTCAGAAAAGGCTGGATAATAAGTGTAGTGTAGACTAACAGGACAGTTTTTTTCTAACAAAATTTGCTTCTAAAATGGGCCACAAAGTTTTCAGATGTTACAGTAGGAGATGACTCAGTGGGTCATGTGCTTACTGCACATCATGAGGACTTGAGTGTAATTCCCAAGCACCCACATAAAAAGTCAGGCATGTTCACTTGTGACTGTAACCCCAGAGTTGCAGGGGCAGAAGCAGGATGCCCGGAGCTCAGTGGCCACCCGGTGTGGCAGATTGACTAGTTCCAGGTGCCTTGAAACACTGTCTCAGAAAATGAGGTGGAGGCTGATAGAAGGCACCTGAGGTCAGCCTCAGCCCCACGTGCACAGGCACCTGAGGTCAGCCTCAGCCCCACGTGCACAGGCACCCGAGGTCAGCCTCAGCCCCACGTGCACAGGCACCAGGGATCAGCCTCAGCTCCATGTGCACATACAGCACACGTCTGCGTAGCCCATGCACACCTGGTCGCTCAGATATAGTGAAAGGTAGAGCTGTGGCTGTAATTGAATTCATAAGTGTGCATTTTGTTCCCCTTGCGGAACAGGAAACAGAAGCCAGTCTATAGGTAATGTCCCAGTGGCTAGAGACCTGTAGCAGAGGAGCTTCATCTTCAAAGCCTGGTTCTTTACCACTCCCATCCACTTTTAGTAACACTCTTTCAACTTGCATTCAATTTCCTGAACATCTATTGAGGGCCTATGATGTGCCAGGGATTGAGCTAGGCTAGACTCATACTGCACAACCTGTTAAGTAGACTACAGTCATTTGTTATCGTCAAAGCTTGGGTGCTTTGTTGTGGGAGGTAGTAAATTGACTTACATTTGATGTCGCAATTCCACCTGCTCCCTATACTCTTTCTGACGTCATTTTATTTAAATTTCTCTTTAAAATGTAACATTAAACTACCTGTAGAGGCATGTGCACTGTTCCCCTTGTAATTGCCCCTCAACCATGTGAGTAAATAGATAAATGCTCAGTTTGGGAGATAAATAGTTACAAAGCTGTGCTTACAGCCCTGTGACTGTGTGTTCATTTCCACGGAACTTTTCATAAATGATTTCTTTCCCTTTTAAAGCCTTCTTCATCACTTGCATGCCTGCGTAACAAACGTCATTTAGGTGACGTGCTTATCCATGTGTTAACATTTCTTGAAACTTCATCTGAATTGCCTTTGTGCTGTTGATTCTCCATAGTAGAAAGACTAGTGCCAATTTTTGATAAGATTATTGTGCCTTTGAGGTAGGCAGCTCCTCTGGTGTTTATGCCTTTGTGATATACTTGAGGCCAGGTTATTTTGACAGTGAAAGGTTGGGTCACTCTGTAGTTCTTTGGCTGTTTGAATTGTATTCAATCTATAGTTGATATTTGGATTTTTAAATATTTATTTGTGACTTTTCAATTTAGAATGGATTCGTTCTTCTTGGCTGAGATGTTTAAATATCTATACCTGTTATTTGCTGATAAAGAAGACATTATTTTTGACATAGAGGATTACATCTTCACCACAGAAGCCCATCTGCTACCCCTTTGGCTCTCTACCACAAACCGCAATATCTCTAAGAAGAACACAGTGAGTCTTAAGTTATCTGTCTTACTCACCTTTTCACTTCTATACATCCATTTAATTTTCCTAAGTATAAAGTAACCCATAATTAGAATTCATTTAATATATACGTGGTAGGAGGAAACTGCTTATAATATTGTCTCATTTTCTTTTAGGGTCTCATTCTTGTTTCATAAAAATATTTCCTTTTTACATATTTTTACCTTTTACATAATATTAAATAGCACTATTATTATTAGTTACATAATTTTTTTTACTGTTTCAGACCTCAGAATACACAGAACTGGATGATAGTAATTTTGACTGGACTTGTCCAAACACGCAGATTCTTTTTCCTAATGATCCATTGTATGCTCAAAGCATCCGTGAACCCTTGAAAAATGTGGTGGATAAGAGCTGTCCAAGAGGCATCATCAGAGTGTAAGATGTATTATTTTATATTTGCTAATACTAAGTTACCTCACAATAAACAACAGCACTTAAGGAGCTGTAACAGTACTCAAAAAGACTTTCACCTAGACTAGAGACTGAAGCATATAGTTTTTATAGAATGCAAATTATATGGACTTTTATCTGTTTTTGTTTAGTAGCAGACAATATATAACAATTTTTAGATTTCTCTAGCTCATTTTTAGATACAAAAGATTCATCAACTATTTCATTGCCATGTATGTGTAAGAAAATACTTTCTTCCATTTTTCTAGTTTCTGCAGAGTGGAAAGAGTTTTTGTTAGTGCTTTTTTGTCCTTAGAATTGCTTCTTGATTGTTAACAAACTTTTAGGAGGCACATAAATGAGCTCATTTTCTTCCATCTAGTTATTAGAAAGGCCATTGACACAGGGAGCTAAAAAAGTGAAGTGGGCATTATTATCCACTGATGAAAGTATTGTTTTGCTTTTAAATATTGTGAGGGCTGGAGAGGTGGCTCACCAGTTAAGAGCACTGGCTGCCCTTCTAGAGGACCCAGCTTCCATTCCCTGTACCCAAATGGCAGCTCACATCTGTAACTCCAGTCCCAGGGGGTCTGATGCCTTCTTCTGGCTTCCAGGGGTACTGCATGTATATAGTAGCAGACAAAACACCCATACTCATACAGTTTTTAAAAATTAAAGATAAAAAAATGTGAGAATATATATATTTGGTTTGTTGAGACAGGGTTTCTCTGTATTGTTTTGGAGACTGCCCTGGAACTGGCTCTGTAGACTAGGCTGGCCTCAAACTCATAGAGATCCACCTGCCTCTGCCTCCCGAGTGCTGGGATTAAAGGTGTGCACCACCAACGCCTGGCAAAAATATGTTTTTAGAGAAAGATAGCATACATGGTCTGTTTTATTGGAATACACACACATACATATACACACCTACACACATATAAAAGTGACACAGTTTGTTAGTAATCAGAATTATGCATAGGAAAATAAATTACTCCAGCTTCACCAGTTCTAGAATTCGCAATTTTGCAAGTATCTACTAATATTGCTCTTATTTGTTTTTTTATATTTCACTGCTTGTAATGTGTGGTTGTAAGCCTTGCTTCTGCTTCCTTTCTGCAGAGAGGAGAGTTTCAGAAGTGGAGCTAACCCTCCTCTGAGAGCCAGAGATTTTATGGCCACTAACCCTGAACATTTAGAAATCCTGAAGAAGATGGGGGTGAGTTTGATTCACCTCAAAGATGGGCGAGTCCAGCTGGTCCAACATGCAATCCAAGTAAGACATTGCTGTATGGGCTAGGTGCTGTCTATGCTCTCTAACTGGAGAAGGGTGTGGCATTTGACTGTAGCAAACTCGCTGGGAAAGTTCCTACTCCTGCATAATCATTTGAGTCATTTGTTTATATTAATACCATCAAGGATAGGACTTAAATCTAAATGTTTCTCAGCTTATTGTCTTTCCACTGTTTTATTGGTAGTGGTTAATTTTAATATTTATACAATAATATTCCATACTAGCTTCCAAAAAGTACTGAATCTAAGTACTTCATTCAACACAGAAATCAAGCTTTGAATATATTTGTACCTGAAAAAGATAGCATACCCTTTAGATAGTTTTTATTGATTTTAAAGTTTTTATAACATGAAACCTTTAGGTTATTTACCTTATTAGCACATTGACTCTGAACAGCATAATATTCTGAGTAATTATAAGCTGTAAGCACACTCGAACACCTTTACTCTCAAACCAACCTTCCCACAGCCTCACTTTTCCCTCAGATTTTTATCTGTTTTCTTGCCATCTCCATCTTCCATTTAAGAGTATTCCTGTGTCCTTATGGTCCCGAATTGTGAGCATGGCCCTAATGCTTTTATTTAGGCTATCCATGAAGTAGTGGCCACCAAGTGGTCTCTTAATCTTTAACGCAATCTAACTTTTCTGTAACTCTTGATTTTCCTCTTAAACATGTCTTTCATTCTGGCTCCCAGGGTGTCCCAGCAGTGCAGTCTCGGCTCAGTTGTCACGCTGCGCCTTGTAGCTCTGCTTCCCTGGTACCCACTCAGTGCAGGGCGGCCTGCGACTCCACATGGTGCTCTTTTCTCTATGTTCTCTTCTTCAGCAGTCTTCTCTTTCTGCCACTAACTTTGAGCGGATGGCTTCTTAGACATAATGCATATATATAGCAGTCATCTGAACTTTAACCCTGAACCTAGCTTTAATACATCTGCTATGTATTTGTACATCTCAGCCTCCATCTGCCCTAGACTGAATCGTGTTTTCCTTCTCTGTCACCTTCCTGTCTTTACCTCAGCTCTTTTCTCTGTTTTCCATCCAGAGAACTCTGAGCTCTTTGCAGTGTTAGAAATTTCAGAGTGGGATTCTCTGCCCTCCAGCTCCCTACATCAATCCTAGTTTTTTTATTTACTTTATTTTTTTTTTTTTTTGCAGCTTTTTCCTATGAAGGACATCTCCAACTTCTCGTTGGTTGAGACTTAGTTCTCAGTTATACACAAGCAGAATCAATTATTCCCTTGTGCCCTTTTTCACTTTAGACTTTTTAGCACAGTTAACTTCTGTATGTCTTTCTCCATTAGACACAAACTTAGAGACTGTCTCCCCAATGCTTCAGTTTACTGTGAGGACAGAATAGGTACTTAATCCGTGTTTTGAACCTTATTGAATCTGCTTGCTAGTTTGGAGTTTCAAAGAGGAAAGATGTGGGTCAGACAAGATGGCTTTTTCCCTCAAGGGGGAAGCCAGCGGAGGTAAACAGCAAAAGGGTGCTTGAGCGTTTGATACAAACCATTTCTAATCTCCATCAAAGTGATTATGTGGTGGGAAGAGACACTGATCAAAGTTACAGATAGTGCTTCTCAGAGAGTTTAATTCCTGAAAAGAGTGTGTTGAGGGCAAGTTAGATAAAAAATATTTAGTGGGGACCTAAACTAAAAGGAGAAATTCCCTGCAGAAGTCTGTAATTTAGGAAGTCAGAAAGATGGGGAAGTTAGCAGGAAGGAAAGCTAAGCTAAACTGAATCTGTTTCTTTCATAGGCTGCTAGTTCAATTGATGCTGAAGATGGGCTGCGGTTCATGCAGGAGATGATTGAACTGTCAAGTCAGCAACAGAAAGAGCAGCAGCTACCTCCACGAGCTGTACAAATTATTTCTCACCCGTTTTTTGGCAGGGTAGTCTTAACTGCTGGACCAGCTCAGTTTGGGCTGGATCTATCTAAACATAAAGAGGTATGTGTACTCCAGTAAGCTTACTAAAATTAAAATAGTAAGTATTTGATTTCTTTGTCTCTAATTTAGTAGCTTTATGTCTGAGTGTACATTTTGGGGGCAGAAACACACACTCCTCTGAGACCCTGGCTTCAGTCCTCACAACAAAACAAAACAAAACATTATTATTCAGCTTCCTGCATTCAAAGTGTTCTTATATTTGTATAAAGATCTCTCTGTCTGGGGAGATCTCTCAGTCATTAGAGTGCTTGCTGTGCACACGTGAGTACCTGGGTTTAGTTCAAGTACCCAGATAAAAGCCGGGCATGTTAATATGCCCTCTTATCCCAGCACTGGAGAGGCAGAGACAGGAGGATCCACAAGGATCCCTGGCCAGCCACCCTAGCCCAATCTGTGATCACCAAGTTCCTGGTAGAGACCCGTTCTTAAATGATGAGGTGAATAGCTCTTGATGAATGATAGATGAGATTGATGATTGATCTGTAGCTTCTGTATGTACACACACACACACACACACACACCCACACACACACACACACACACGGAGGGAGGAAGGGGAGGGAGGGAGAGAGAGAGGGAGGGAGGGAGAGAGAATTCTACTTCCCTTAAAGCTTATGACTCTAAAGTTAAATGATTAGATTGTAATTGAAGATGATAGAAGATTTAAGTTACTTTTATTTCTGACAGACAAGAGGATTTGTTGCAAGCAGTAAACCGTATAACGGTTGTTCAGAACTCACTAACCCCGAGGCTGTGATGGGGAAAATTGCCTTGATACAAAGAGGACAGTGCATGTTTGCAGAAAAGGCACGCAACATCCAGAATGCTGGCGCCATCGGCGGCATCGTCATTGGTAAGTAGTCCTCTGTATCAGTGTATTGATCAGGAGGAGGGGGTTGGGGGATTTCCCTTTGCTTCTCTAAAATCTTATCAAAGGGTTTGTCAGGTTTTTATTTTGACAACATAAAGGATAGATGATTCAATGACCTGATAATTCCTATACATATATCTTTCTTGAAAATCCAGATACTGGTTTCTGTATATTAATGTCAGTGAAAGTATTTGGGATAAGGTCTGAGGGTAGAGTTGGAGTGTTGTGCAAATGCCCCACACTCTGGAAAAGAAACTGTGTCCTTGAATCCTAAAGTCTCCAGGTAAGAATTCCGCTCAGCCCCTTCCAGTGTGCAGCTTTTGGAGACCTGGTCCTCCACAGGGTCCAGGCTTTGGAATCACAGGCGTGCGTGTATTATACATTTCTACATTGAGAGTACATAACACAGTTAAAGGCTGCATTGGGGGCTATAACTCAGTGGCCCTGCTTTTGACTCTAGCATCATGACAAACAGAAGATATGAACACAAGTATTAGGATGTATTTCAGCAAAAGAAAATTAATTTTGCTCTCTTTATTTATTCTGTATGGAGACTAAACTGTTGATTTAGGTGAATAAATTTCATTAGTTAAAAAATTTCAGGAGAAATTGTGTTTGGTAACTTAAACCCACATTTAGTGGACCTTCTGAGACACAGCCACACCCATTCCTGTAGATACTGTCTCTAAGTTGCAGGGTTGGGTAGTTCCAACAGAGAACACGAGATGACAGAGTTTGCCATGTAACCAGTTACAGGACATCTTGGCTGACTCCTGACTTAAATTTTTTTCCTTAAGTGTGTATGTGTACAGATGTGTGTGTGTGTGTGTACACATTCATGTGCACGTGTGTGTGGAGGCCACAGGTCAGTGTTGGTGTCTTCTCTGCTGTTTTCCACCTTAATTACTGAAAAGGTCTTTAATTAAGCTCAGAACTCATGAGTTGACTAGATTGACTGGCTGGTGAACTGGTTAGGAGAACCTGTTCTCCTAACTCCCAGTGCTAGGGTTACGGATGAGCATCACCAAGCCTAGCTTTTATGTGGACACTAGGGATCCAAATTTGGGTCCTTATGCTTGTATGGAGGACATTGTACCAACTGAGCCATTTCCCAGCCTTTGAGGCATCCTGTTTATCACTGGCTATTTTCACATTGAGTCTCCTTTTACTGAAGAATTTAGGAACTTGTTGTCACTATGATTTTGACCATTTCTTACCCAGACTTAAAAACAGAGATTTAAATGTCCATCAATCTTAAACACCTTTCCATGTAAAGATTTTCCTTTCTGGGCAGAATCTTGCTCTGTGACATGTGAAAACATCAGGGCAGACATCTACTTACTTGCTTTAGTAGCTCTTGGTGCACACTCCTACATGGGTTCTGTAGAACAATAAGATGATGTTTTTGTTGTCAGAAATTTTAATTTTAAAAAGAAATTTAAATATGTGAGCTTCTTTCTCCTAAGTTTTTTTTTCTGACAAAAGTTTTTTCCTTTGAATAAATTTGTGTTTCTTTTTTTATTACAAGGAAAGATACCTTACCTTAGAAATACAAATTACCTTAGGAGTCATTTGCCTACAGGAGGTAGTAATTTTCTTGTTATTTTAAGAAGGGAGGTTGTCTACTATGTGGAAAGGGATGATTTTCATTCAGCCCAAGAGTAAGACAGTGACTGGCCTTGACCAGGGTGCATGTGAACTGTGAGCTGCCGCAGCTGGGGGTGTCCACATTCTCTTCATCTGGTGCTGCCGCAGCTGGGGGTGTCCACATTCTCTTCATCTGGTGCTGTCTAGCCTCTGGGTGTTTGCAGCTCCTCCTCTTCAGCTCCCTCTCCCTCTGTTCACAGCTCCCATAAGGCAGCCAGGCCCTCATCCTGAGTCACTTTCATGGACTGTTACCCACACTAGCTTAGGCAGTTTGTGCGTCAGTTCTAAGGTCCTAGAGGGACGGGAGTCAGACAGCCATCCTTTGTCGGGTTAATTACTAAGAGGACACATTGAGTTTGCCATTTAGTTGGGCCTATGAAGCAGGTGGTGTGTGAGGTGGCATTGTCATTTTCATCAGGAAACTGGTGTGTGATACTGGGAGTGGATGTGATTGACACTTACACTATCAGAGAATTTAATTGACACTTAACCAGTGTGTTCTGGTTCATGAAATCATTTCTATCAGTAGGGGAAAAGCAGTAACAGTGCATCTCTGCAGTGGATAGATACCCTGATTGCTCTGTTTGTTTTCTGGCTAGATGACAACGAGGGGAGCAGCAGTGACACTGCCCCTCTGTTCCAGATGGCAGGTGATGGGAAAGACACGGACGACATAAAGATCCCCATGCTGTTCCTGTTCAGCAAAGAAGGAAGCATCATCCTGGATGCCATCCGCGAGCACGAGGAGGTGGAGGTGCTGCTTTCTGACAAAGCAAGGGACCGAGGTAACAGCCAGGGCTGCTGTGCTGGTCCTGTCAGTCCAGTAGCCAAAGATGCTGATGAAAGTGACATAGGCTTCCTTTTTTATTTTTGGTTTGCTAGTAAAACAAGTAAAAATTTTAGAAGGTGGCTTAGAATTTTTCTCTTGGAAATAATAGTAATTTATTATTTTTATTTTATTAACATTAGAGTTTATTTATTTTTACTATTTTTCATTAAATTACATATAACATAAAATAAATAATAAATAAACTATTATTTTAATTTACTGTTAATATTTATTAGTAGTAAAACATTTACTTTGATGGCTGAATTAGATGCTTTTAGAATTGTATTTTTTACATGTAGGGTGTCATATACAATGTGATCATAGCTCTGTCTCACCAGCAACCTGTACTCTCAGGCCACTCGACAAAGGCATTAGAAATGCAGGAGCTTCTCCCTGCTGCCATCTACATTTATCACATGGATTTTTATACTACAGGAGTTACTAATGGCTTTCCTGACAAGCAAGATACCTTAACTCATAAAACTATATAATCTTTCCTAGGTTAAAGTGTTGTTAGTAATTTGAAACCACTGTGTAAAGGCTGCAGTTTTCACATCTGAGGGCTTGGGAAAGCTGAGGGATATAGGCTATGACCCTGCTCCTGGTAGCACTATTTTTAGGAAGAGGCACCTGTAGAAGGAACTGTGTCTCCTATCCCCTTAAATGAATGGCACTGTATAATCTGTATGGGGTTGTTATAGTCCATAGGGTATTGACAGATATTCAAAAACTACCTTATGACACATCTTTTTAAAAAGGCTAACAGTACAGTGCTATCTCAGTCAGTGTTTTTGTCTTCTGTATTGCTTTGTTTGTTGAGAGTCTTTGAATCAGCAGCTATTTAAGAGCAGTGGAATGAATGCGTCGGGTGTGTAAGGATGTATAGTCGGAACAGAATACAAACAAGTCCCGATTTTCTTATACCTGCCTGGTACTGGATTTCTTTTTTCCTGGGGCCCTTTTCAAAATTCTCATCTTTCCTACTCTGCTGTACATCAGACCCAGGCAAATTAATATTAATCTGTATAATGCTTTAATACCTTTGCTTTCCCCCTGTTTTCTGCTACCATTGGAATTTCAGCAGCAATATTAAAAGGTAAAATGATTCCAAGCTACATTATTAACAGTAGTAAGTATCTTGCATTAATAAACTGATTATATATGTATGTATGTGTATCACACACACATACATATATAATCTTGTTTCACTAAGTATCATGATATATGATTTAATGTGATTAATAACTTCCATATTCAGTCACTTGTCCCATAATAATAATTCTTTATTGATCCTACTCTAATTCTGTTAATTTTATATTCCATACTCTAGATGAATTCACTAGTCCAGGTCCATGCAAGAGTCACTCTAGCCGGCGTTGGTGGCACACGCCTTTAATGCCAGCACTTGGGAGGCAGAGGCAGGCGGATCTCTGTGAGTTCGAGGCCAGCCTGGTCTACAGCCTCCAAAACAATACAGAGAAACCCTGTCTCAAAAAAAAAGTCACTCTGACAGCAGCATTGTTATATAAGAAATTATTACTTTTGATCATTTTTATTTCTATACAAAGTAGAGTATTTAAAATATTGGCTTTGCTTTATAAGCTCTTTTGGAGGTGAGGGGCACACATGGGTTAACACTGTGAATATGATGAAGAACCTGCTCCCCACACCAGGAAAAACAGTCAGTTCTACTAGAAAAAAGTTGTTAAGGAATAGTACTCCCTTAAAAGCTGTAGTAAAAAAGACATTATGTAAATGGTATTTTAAAGCACTTTGATGGTCCATAACTTTGTTGAGCGGTTAATTTCACAGTGCTCCTTACGGAAGGTTTAAGGTTTGTGTATATAATAGCACTTTGAAAAATGTACAACTGTGTTAGCCAAACCAGGAGGTTATGCATATTAACATCTATCTCTGTAAGAGAAATCAGTGATACTAGTTCAATCAGATCAACCACTTTATTCACTTAGGACAATATTCTAAGAAGTTAGACTCTATAGTGGTTATCGCTAATGTGTCTCATACCACCACCATATCATATACTTCACCTATGTCAGTATTGACTAAGATGTTTGCGGAAAGTGAAGGCTCCTCATTCCCTCCTGTTCTGAGTTAGATTCTGAAGCAGGGACCAGAATCCCACATTTAGACACTCCCAGGCGCCGTTGTAGCACAGCAGTTCGTCGCCTGCACTTTAAGAGACATGGAAGGGGACCCAGAAGACCTTTCTGTCTCCTAGCTCTGGCTCATGAGTTAGAGTTATGTACCCTGAGTAATAAGATCCTAATCCAGGCATCAGACTAGCCGGGTGGTGGTGGCACACGCCTTTAATCCCAGTACTTGGGAGGCAGAGGCAGGTGATCTCTGTGAGTTCGAGACCAGCCTAGTCTATAAGAGCTAGTTCCAGGATAGCTTCCAAAGCCACAGAGAAACCCTTTCTCAAAAAACCAAACAAACAAACAAACAAACAAAGAACAACAACAAAACCAGGCATCAGACTGTCTTCAAATGAGCTTTCCAACTGGTGTCACATTGCTTGCTGACTGAGAAGCCCTTTGTATTTACAGTGCAGGAGATAGACACCCCAGACACGCTCTCTCCTATACCCACCTTTTTTCCGATAAGTATGACTCTTAGGATCTATATATCTGAATGTCCTACCTGCTGGCAACAGGGTTCAAATACTGCACATTCTTTAGATGTTGATGCTCTAGAAGATTGTCAAGTGGAAGTGTTGCTTCCTCTGCGAATCCACTGGCACATCTACAAGTTAGGTTGTCCACACTTTGTTCTTGAACAAAACTTTGATTACTGTGTCTCTTAGTGACTCATTGCTTCAAAATTTGAGTTTTTAAAGACATTTAATAATTCCAACTCTGCCTCACAAACAAAAAAATGTGTTGATGACCTTTAAATTGAAGAGGTTTACAAGTGAGTCAGTTTTCTTCCCTCCTTAGTATTATTAAGGAAAAAGCCAGACGATGGTGGTACATGCCTTTAATCCCAGCACTCGGGAGGCAGAGGCAGAGGCAGAGGCAGAGGCAGGGCAGATCTCTGAGTTCGAGATCAGCCTGGTCTACAGAGCAAGTGCCAGGACAGGCTCCAAAGCTACATAGAGAAATTCTGTCTTGAAAAAAACTTTTTATAAAATAAAAAGTATTGTGGAGGAAAGCACCAGCACTTTAAGTTATAGCACACTGCCATGCTCCCAGCCTCCAGAGCCGGTCGGCATGCTTGAAGGCAGTAGACATCAGCTCTAACCGCTACTTCTGTATTAGTGTTTGTCTGGTAAAAGGCAGACGGAAAATGGAGGCAAGAAAGAATCCCATCTTGTAAACTGCCCTGAATTTAAGCCAACAGTATCAGTCCTCAAATGACCGACCCCATTCAAAGTAGGCTGCAGTGCTGCTGCCCTGGAGTTGGACTGTGGAATCCATTGGGGAAAGGTCTGATTGCGGGGAGGACAGCCTTGTACATGGACAGATGGCTTTCTGCCTGGAGAGGAACAGCCCGGAGTTATGTCAGGAAACCATGCTTGCCTGCGCTCCTCCTCTCAGCAGACATGTTTCCGTGTGATTTTACCTTAGCGGTTTTTCACATCCCTCTAAGTGGAGCCATTCTGTGCACAATTCCAATGCCCCTTCTGTATGTCATTTTTTTTCTCATTCTTGGCAGAATGGAAGTTGGTTTTTTTTTCTTCTTCAATATAGTTCAGTGATTTTATTGCATGATTACTTACTCTTCTTGCCTCTCTGAGCTTTGCTTTCAGTCACCATAGAATGTGCTGGCAAATGAATGACTGTATAATACTCAGACTCTTAAGTCTTTACCAGCATCATCTTCCCCTTTTATTAATAAGGCCCACTGATATTTTTTGGGCCTTTGTCCAGTCTTTTTGTTTCTTGTGTTTCTGACATGCCATTGCTGGATCAGTATCACACCCTTTAGGCTGGTAACGGGTGCCTGAGAGTGAAGACGTAACGATGTGTCTAACCTCAAGTCTTTGAGTCGTTGTTCCTCTCAAAGCCCAGGCTGGCTTGGCTGCCTTCTCCTCCTTGTTCCGAGAATTCACAAGCTTTTACAGGCCGAATAGGAACACTTGCACTCCTGTCCTTCTAGCCCGTTTGTTTATTCCTACGCTGGTGACGTAGAAGCTTTGTTTGGGATACGTTTCATATGATACCTCTTCCCTTTCTGAATCTTTTTAGAATTTCAATTTTGTGTAGTACAAAAACTAAAAGAAGTAGAAATGAGATTCATTTTGGAATCATGTATTCTCATATTTTTTAATAGAGAGTAGAAAACTGTTAAGTGTAACAACTTCCTGTTCTGGAACATAGCTGTAAATTTAATCAGCTCTTGTTTTTTCTTTTTATTATAATTATATAGTATTAAGCAGTATGAACCTTATAGCTGTCATAATTCAGTTTTGTTGTTTTTTTTATTATATAATGAAAAATGTATGATTTATCTTTGGTGTTTCTATTGAGGAGTTACTGGTATTTGCAGTTATTTTAGTTTTCTTTACCAATTTTTTATTAACCTTGATAGTATTCTTAAAATTAGACTTGCTCTATGTCTTAGTTAGGGTTTCTATTTGTTGTGAAGAGACACCATGTCCATGGAAACTCTTATAAAGGAAAACATTTAATTGGGGCTGGCTTGCAGTTCAGAGGTTTAGTCTATTACTGTCACGGTAGGACATGGTGACATGCAGACAGACATGGTGCTGGAGAAGAAGGAGCTAAGAGGTCTACATCTTGATCTGCAGGCAGCAGGAAAAGAGTGAGACACTGGGCCTGGTTTGAGCATCTGAAACCTCAAAGCCTATCCCCCAGTGACACACTTCCTCCATCAAGGCCATGCCTCCCAGTAGTGCTACTCCCTATGAGGCTGTGGGGGCCGTTTTCATTCAGACCACCGCACTTGAGTTTTAGTATACAGTTAAAATATAAGAATATAGGGAATACTTGTGTTTCTTTTTTTTTAATCTACCCTGCTTATTCTGTTATTTTATGACATTAACTAGATCCAGAATAATAACATATCACGTGTAACTCAGAAGGGCTTAGTCACAGCAGTCTTTGTTACACAGGACAACCCTGCACCATCCCATCCTTCTAGACTAGAATAATAAGATTGAAAAAGAGACTCTACGACTTTGTTATTCTCCTTATGGTCACCTAGCATAGTAAGCTCCGAGCTCCCTTTTCTTATCTTACTCCTGTTCCCCTGTTTATTTAATTGTGTTTCTTTCACAGCTCAGAAATCTGAGATGGTAACAGGAATAAAAGGAATAAAGTATTGCATAAAAAAAAAGTTATGAAGGAAGAAAAGGAAACTGAGTTGTCTTTACCTTCAGCCTCCCCCTGCCAAAACAAGCAAACAAACAAACAAAAAACCCAAACAGTCAGACTGGGCTCTTAGTGTAACTGTGGTGCTTCTGACTCCAAAAACAAAACACAAACAAAAAAACTGTCCTAGTCACTTTTCTGTTGCTGTGATAAGACGCATGGCAAAGGCAGCTTAAAGAAGAGCTTGATTTGGATTACATTCCACAGGGTCCCAGTCCTTAATGGCAGCTACCGCATGGCAGCAGGCAGCTGGAGTAGGAAGTTGAGAGGTCACATCTTCAACCCTAAACAGAAAACAGAAGGAAAATGAAATGGGACTAGGCTATAAAACTAGTCCACCCTGAGTGAAGCACTTTCTCCAAAGACTTCACCCCTAGCTTTCCACTGGGGACCGAGTGTCAATACTAAAGCCTGTGGGTAACAGTTCTTATTTAAACCATCATACCATCCAAAAACCAAGCATGTGAACTTTGGAGAGCAAGCATGTACCGGTGTGTGTGCACAGAAACTTCTAAACAGGCAATCCTACCTGAGAGGGTGACTGTCCGTGCTCACCTGTGCATTCCTGCTTGTCCACCTGTCCTGCAAGGGCTAGTGTGCTTTCATTCTTTTCTCCTCCTCTGCTGTGAGCTCTGCCTCCTTTCCGAAGGAGCCCTCAAATGTTACTACTGCAAGCTTTCCAAATACATCATGCCTATCTCCCCTATAAAACATGGGGTCTTTCACTTACTGTCTAAATATCCATTGTTTGTGGGTACCATTTCCTCATGGGCTGTAAGATGCTTAATAAGACAGGCACAGTGTTTGTTTTCCCTCCTCATTTTCTCTCTGGCACCAGGCACAGTGGACACCCTGGAGAGCTCTAGCTGCATTGTAGAAACTGGCTGAGCAGGGTGTAGCATCTGAATGACAAAGCTGCTTAAGTACTTTACTGTAGGAACTTAGTGTTTCTAGGGCATTTATATTTCATATTCACTACAAAAACTTTACCTACTCAGGCTCCTAGTGAATTTTAGAGTAGTTGTTTAAAGTTCGTAGATATCCAGTAATAGTCTTATTAACACTCTTAGTTCTTGTCTTTATAAAAATATTTTATTTGATGAGTCATATTAATACCTCTAACCCTTCAGTCTTTTTGTTTGAATCTAAATGGATCGCCGAGTAGTAATTTTACTTTCCAAGAAATACGATTTCAAATTTTAGCAATGATATATGCTATTAAAATATTAAAATTTATTCCATTTGGGATATTCTTGTGTGCAAGTTTTCTTTAATTTAGGTGTTAATAAATTGTGTGTGTGCGCGCGTGTGCGCACACATGTGCCTCATTGTATGTGCAGGTGTGTGTGTGTGTGCTCATGCTTGTTCGTACACACGGGTTTGGAGTTAGAGGTAGCTGTGAGATGCCAGCGTGTTACATGGGTCCTGGGATCCAAACTTTTGTCCTAATGTTTGTGCAGAAAGCACACTCAGCCACTGAGCCATCTCTGGCCATGATTTTAGTTATATGTGAAATTTTGTATACATTTTAGTATTTTTGTTTAGTGCTTTTGTCACTTACTAATATTCACCCAAGTCAGCCTTGTGCTATTAGTTATTATTATTCCTTTCCATTTGGAGTGACATTTATTTTCTCTGCCAGCACATTCTCCCCATAACTACACAGGAAATGAGATTGTAAGACCTTGACTTCAGGGTTTACTCTTCTGCATTGATATGAATGCTTTATTTCTTCATTTTGTTGCAAAGTTGTAAGTGTGGTGCACTTTTTAGGAGGGAGAGTGATGTGTTTGGGTTTTTTCCTATACAGATCCTGAAATGGAAAATGAAGACCAGCCATCTTCTGAAAATGATTCTCAGAACCAGAGTGCGGAACAGCTGCTGCCGCTTTCTCAAACAGTTGACTTGGTTGATCAGGAGACCCCTGAAAACCCTTTAGAGTCCCACTCAGAGCCATCATCTCCAGCAGACATGGAAGAAGCTGCTGGCTTTGCCCCTTCTGAACAGAAATCTAGTTCCACAGAAAGCCTTGAGACTCCAAGCCTTGATGGTGAATGTACAGAATTAGATAACCAACTTCAAGAACAATCAGAAACTGAGGAAGATTCGAATCCTAATGTTAGCTGGGGTAAAAAGGTCCAGCCTATAGACTCCATATTAGCAGACTGGAATGAAGATATAGAAGCATTTGAAATGATGGAGAAGGATGAACTCTGACTCTCTGTAGACTCTAGTGGTAGATATTTCAAACGAAGACGTAAACTGTGGTTTTCGATGCCCTCTACCAAGCAGGCGCTCCTGCGAGGCTCTGAGCAGTGCTCAAGCCCGTTCTGACTGGGTAAGTACTTTCTGTAGCAATCTGGAGCATGAGTTAGAGCTGACCTCACCGAAACTGTTCCATCCAAGTGGAAACTCAACCCCTCAAATGAAGCTATTGCATACCCTGAAGCTCCCAGGCCAGGATGACTGGCCATTCCTGGGTAGATGAGAAACAAATTCAGCTAATAGGGAATGGGAACAAGAGTCAGTGCAGCTTCCTAATTGAAGGGAGCACCACTGCCTTGGGCTTGGGTCTGAAGCCCTTCTGAGAAGATCTGAATGAGCGTTGTGGTATTCTGTCCTTGCTGCCTTCACAGGAACACTTTAAGTGACCTACAGCTTATGAAGCAGATACAACTGCTTTCACCTGCTTCATTCAGCAACAAATGGTCAAGATGACTTGATTTCTTTTTCTCTCCCAACAATGTCCTTGCATTTAAACCAAAGGTGAAGCCAGTGTACTTTTTCCTGTGAGTTTTCCTATAAAGACCTATTTTGGGGGCAGGAAGAGAGTCACATAGATATAATGGAAACTGGTTGCTTGATACTCGGGGTAAATAGAGAGAAAGAGAAACTATAATGTTGCAATATCAACTTCCCATTGGGCCATAGGGGACTACTCTAAATGGAGATCAGCATTAGATCCTTGTGGGGTAGATTATGTCTTTTCCAGTTCATTTCTCTTAAGGTGGTTACTCTAGCCATCAGCCTTACTCCATCTCATGTTCGGTATCCAGTCTGAGCCAGAAGGCTCATCCCAAGCCCTGTTCCATTTCCCTATCTTATGGAGCCAAGATGAACCATGGTAGTGTCTGTAATCCGGGGTGACTGCCATCTTTCTCCTTTGAAGCTGGTTTCTACATCACACCCAAGGAGTCTGTCACGTTTTCTGTTGAATCATGGATTTAAGTTTGTTTAATTTTCTTTTAACAAGTACTCCTTCTGATGTGGACTTGAAAATTAGCCTCTGGTGACCTGTGAAAAAAAAAACAAAAAACTATATAGCCATATAAGTAAAAGAAAAGATTTCCTTCCTTCCTTCCTTTCTTTCTTTCTTCTCTCTCTCTCTCTCTCTCTCTCTCTCTCTCTCTCTCTCTCTCTCTCTCTCTCTCTCTCTCTCTCTCTCTCTGTCTCTGTCTCTCTCTCTCTCTCTCTCTCTGGTGGCAGTTTGGACTGGCCACATTTAATTATTTTTGGTTTTGCTTATTGATAGTACTCCATTGAAATCATGGTTTTATTCATTTATTTATTTTTAAACTTATTTTAATTACTTCCAAAGGAATTTTTGAGAAACTTAATTCCTTTTTACCATGGCATTATACAATAACCTTTTTCTAAAACATGGTTTTGAGGTACTGAATAACTTAGACTATATATGGAGCTGTTAAAGACAGCAGTGCTGTATTGTAGTTGTGTATATTCATGTACAGTATGTATTAGGTCCTAGGTAAACATGCCCTTGTGTAAGGAGATAAATACCTGCTTTCAAAAAAATCCCAGCTAAACATAATTGGGTCAGTAAGTAATAAATCTTAGAATTCACTAGGGGATGGGGTAGTACAACAAGTTCTTTATTGGCTTGTAGTTTAAACCTGACACCAAAATGGGTATTTTTAGTCCCTCTGCATGTGAAGTTTGGTGCAAGATAGAACCATAATACACAGCGTATACAGAAGGGTAGATGTGCTTTGTTCATCTTAATTGCAAAGCTGCCAAAATAGCTGAAGCTTAGATTTCTAGGACTGGGGCTTGGAGAAAAGGAACAGATGCTCCTTCGAGATTTTGATTACAGAAGTCTTATATATGTATTGATTTTGTATTATAGCACAAGGCCATTGCTGTCTAGGTCTAACTGTTTTAAGTTATCAAGTTAGCAGCATAATTTTTTCCTCTTAACATCATGAAGGATCACATGACACACTAGGAAAGGCCAGTTTACTGCCACTTGCTGTTCCTCTGGCCACTAGGAGGCGCGGTTGCCCTTCATTAAGGTTTAGATGACCCTATTGAAAACCAAATCCTTGAAAGAAATAAATTTAAGATGTTTTACTTAATATCTAGAAGGAATAATACTCGGTTTTTCCCTACTTAAGAAAGGAGGTATAATACTGTTCAGCTTCAAAACACAGCATTCTAACTGATTCTACATTCATTTTCTTATTTGACATACTGCCACAAAATAGTCTTTGAGTTCATTAGAAAATTTTAACAGCATAGATTTTTTTTTAAAAAAAATGTTTTTGGTTGTTGTTTGTTAAAACTTTTCACAGATATTTTATTTACTTGCTGAAGATTCAGGGAATTCTGAGACCCTGAGTTTAGAAACATCTGGTCTACCTCAGTTAAATGTTGACTGCTTAGAAATAGAGCTGAAATGATCACCACAGCCATAAAATTGTTTGACTAAGAAAGATTTATATAATGTTTACAAACCTGGAATCAAGTGTGGATCTTACCTGAAAGTTAAGAGTTACCTGTTAGAGCAAGTATTTAATTCAGGTATTTTCAAGTTTTAAAACTTGTTTATCTAGTAAAATTAGGGATAGCTTTTTTTTCTCACATTAAAAAGTCCATTGAAATTATATTCCCTAATTTGCAATGTTTTCTCCATAAAATTTAAGTGTGAAAGAACTATAGTTTACTAGATGTGTTTGGGGTGGGATGTTTTGTTAGGCTTTCTTTTTTCTCTTTAACCTATGTAATAAGCTTCCAAAAAGAGTGTAATTGTTTCAGAACAAATTATTTTGTAATTTTCCTTTTTCTTTACAGTGTTAGATATTTTAAAATGAAAAATTATGCATTATCTGACTTTAATTTAACTAATGTAATAATTTTCTCGGGAATTCCTAAGTTTCAAATTACCATCCTCTAAACTTTTCTTATAGCAAAGCCAGCGTTTGTCCTCTCACCAAACCCCATGCAGATTCATCGTAAGGAAAGCTCAGCCTACGTAGTTCAAATAGTGCTCATAATTTTAGAGGGGTGGGTAGCATTCAGTAAATATTCCAACTGGTTGTTTTATGCACAAGGCTACAGTCAGAACATAGGAAAAAAAACATTCTGTGAATGAAACATTGTATGTTCAGATTTTATAAAAGACATTTTTAAAAGCCCAATTTACAGCCGTATATTTTCTTATGATGTAATTTATGAAAAAGCCGTCTGTACTAACAGGTGCTGTAACACTACTGTTGTTGGGTTTTATCGTTTGGTGATAAATGTATACAATATTTCTAATGGAAACTATGTACTGTGATGTAAAAGTCTGGGCAAAAATGTATATAATCCTTGTATATAATTGTGTATTTGATTATATTACTGATTGTAAATTTAATAAAACATGTAAATATTCTGGTCTAGTTTTAAATTTTGAATTTTTAAAATCATTGTGCAAATATCTAGTAAAATTTCTCTTTACTGCAGGGCAGTGAATTTGGGGGCATTTTGGGGTGTAGAAACCCAGGCAAACATCAGTTCTAAAACTCATAGTGCCTAGTTCAAACTAAATAAATACTAATAATTCTGTGTCACTATTGGTGCCATTTATGTCTTGAATTTACTTATTTAATAAAACCACTTGCCCTCTTTTAATATTCTCATCAAAAGTAGCTTTATTACTTTTTTTTTCTTTTTGAGATAGGGTTTCTTTATGTATCCCTTGGCTGTCCTGGAGCTCACCCTGTAGACAACCTCTGCCTCCCGAGTGCTGGGATTAAAACCGTGCACTACAACCACCTGGCTATTAATTACTTCGCTATTACTGTGTTGGAGACTATGACAGAAAGCAACTTTGGTTTCCTAGGGATAAGATCACCATCATGACAGGGAGCGGCAGTGATGAGACACAGTGCACTGCATAACCCTGAGAACACACATCTAGGACTGCAAGCAGGAAACAGCAAACCGGGGTGGCAGGAGGCTTTTGAAACCTCAAAGCATGTCCCCAGTGGCACTTCCTCTAGTAAGTCCACATCCCACAAACCTCCCCAAACAGTGTCAACAGCTGGGGATCAGAGCCTATAGGGGCTAGAGGCTGGTGGTGGCACGTCTCATTAAAACCATCACAGTAGCTGTGGCTCTTTTCTGTTCATCCTAGGGAGCCATTTCCTTCAGAGACACTGCAATAACCCCGACCTCTGTACTATCCTAGGGTCTGAGCAGATAGGTTAAAAACTGCATAATGACCATTATTATTTGTAAGACTGGGACAAGTTCCAAGCATCTTACAGTGTCAAATTTAGTGACTGGTGGTGGAGCGGGACCACTGGCTCAGTTCCAGAGGCCACTCTGGGATAGGCTCAGTGGGTCACCTTCCTGGCTTCCTCAAGCCTGCTTCTCCCTCCAGTTCCTGCTTGCCTTTTGATTAGCCACACCCCCTGAAATTGGCACATCTCCCCTCCAAAACTGGTTGTTAGTCTTGACAACATCTGTTTGGGGGTTGTTTGGACAATTAGTCAAGCTTCACTATGTCCCCACTCTTCTAGGACAATGAGTGCATTACTGCTAAACTATGAGGCTACTACTAAAGCAAACTTGAGAGGTCTGTCTTTAAAGGTCAATGGAGAATAGGAAACACCAGCACCTACCTGCTAATAAAGCCTGAGGACTTTACCAGGCCTAACTCACTAGTTTCACGCTTATGTTGGACTAGTTAGTATCCGCTATCTTCAAAGGGAGTGCTGCTGATGGACCTACTGAAGATTCCTGATCTGTAGAAGAATGCACTTGGGCTAGCCTAGGTTAAGATGGGAGAATTAAGAAACCTGTGGTACTCCGTAGGGCAGGCACCTGTACCACCAGCTCCATCCTACTGACTGCAGCAGGAGATGCTGAGGGAATGTTAGGGTTTATATTATCATGTGACTTCCCAGAGTCAAAGCTTCCTCACAGGGTTGATCAGAGAACCAAAGAGTAAGTAGGCAAAAGTTAGAGGAACTTTAGTTTCTAGCTGTTTGCACGGGAGTCACACCACCAGCTGCTTTCCTCCACTTGCTCTGTTCACTCTTTCCAGCTTCTTCGATCTGTAGGCTAGTCAAATTCCCCCTTACAAATGGGCCTAGAAAGCTGCTAGCACTAGAAACACTAAGCCGTGAAGCTAGTCTCCTGCCCTGCCTTAGAACTATTAAACCAATTCTAGCCTGTCTTTACTAGCAGCCACGGAGATAGACAGTTTCAGGGCCAGATCCCTCTTAATCCACCTTCAAAAGGGCACTTTGCCTTGGGGAAAGCTTTTGTGAGTGTGGAGCAGGTTCAGGAGGGCAAAAGCCCAGGCTACTCCACACACCAACATTTTGGTGTCCAGGGCAGCTTTGAGGAAAGGAAGAGGTCTCAGCAAAGAGGTCGGCTGTGAGAACTTCCGGGCAGGGGCATCACGTTTGCAGTCACTTCAATGTGGTTCTTGGCTGCCACTTCCTATCACCTGGCTGGCCTAGAGTGCCACTGATTCCTCTAACCTTAAGTCACCATGATTGCAGTGACCATGATGACACAAGCCAAGTGTGCCTGGTGGTCTCCCATTCAGCATCTGTGATACGTCAAGCAACCGTGTCAGTCTTCTAGCCATCTTAGGACATTCTTGTCTGATAGCTTTGTGTGTTGAGCATGCTCTTAACTGAACATGCCCAGTACATCCTAAAAATAGCCATGTCCCCACCCAGAAATGCTTTTCCAGATGGATAGGCATATGGAAAATTCTGAAGCAAATTCGCTACCATTCTTTGTCATGGGACACTTGCCATTTAGGGGAGCTACAGCCAATGGTCTCTTGCCTTCTGACAATAGAAATCTACTCTTGGATACCTTGACTGTGACTTTTTGGCTTTCACTCAGAAAGATGTGCATTCATCGTGTTCAGTTATTTTACTGTATGACTAGAGACATTTTTTAAGGGGCATGCTCTCAGTCTGTAAGCATCATACCCAGGTTGGTGGCACCACTTGGCCTCATCAGGTTTTCCAGAAACAGTATCACTCCTAGCCTACCTTCCTACCTTACTTAATATTAAAATTTCTTTTGCTGAGCCAAATTGGCAAACCTTAAATGTTTAGACCAACTGCCCACGGCTTATGCAATTATACAAAGAATACCTTTTGGGGCTGGATGGAATCAAATCCCACTGCTGACCAGCCTCACTTAAAATCATGGCTGGGCATCTCAGATGAGATTCGGTGCTTCCTCAAATTCTAACCATATTTCTCTGATAGAGGTTGGCACCTTGGAATAAGTTTCATCCTTCCCAAATCTCCTGCATTTATCCCTTATTATCAAAGAACACAGATGGAAATGATTCAACATTCACCAATCCATCACTGAGTGTGTCCTTATACAGAGGCATCCCCGAAGGAGTCCAAGGATTCTTTTTACCCACACACTAAAGAATTGGAACCTCAGATGAATCAGATGTACCAAAAAGTGGGAAAACGAATCAAACTATTAGACTCCATTTGGACCCAAGGGTGAAGGAATACTGGCCCTCTGTCTAAATCCTTTTTCACACCATCAGGAGCAGCATCACATGGCCTCCATCACTGAGCAATGTGAACAGAAGTCCTGGGTACCAGGTTGCAATAAGAAGCCTCATCCATTCACTGAAACTGAGCAGCTCTTCGTCATCTAAAAGGATAACAAATCCACACATCTCCTCCCAAATACTAGGGCAAAGAATGGAAATTTGGACACATCTAAATGTCTACAGGTTAATGTTTAATAACAGTATGATACATCAAGGCAGAGAAATAATGATACGCATTTGTTAAAATGTGGGTAAGGAATGTTGAGTGTCTAAGGGTATGCTTTTTAGTGTTCATTAATGCAGTGATAATCTCTTGCTCTTGTTCTCCAACTATGCTCTGGGAATCCATGAGTAATACTCAAGACCATTCCAGATCTTGTTTCTATAAAGACTTCACTGTCAAGTCTACAAGTCACTGAACAAAAATTACCCGAGCAATGAGGGTTTTGAAAATGGATAATCTAGATACTATGGGAATGTATGAGGATTCAGCCCAGTGAGGACTAAAGCCTGAAGCTGTGCTGTGGTGGATGTTAAGGTTTTTGAGATACCCCAGCTCCAAAGATTAGGACTGCATTTTTGCAAAGGCTAAAGAGTTTTGATTTATAATAAGAATTTTGAATTTTGTCCTTAAGGTAGTGAGAAAGCACTAAGAGGTTTTATATAAATCAGTGGCTTGCTGGAATATAAGTGACCCAGGCACCATTATGGTGAGGAGTACAGGGTTGGGAAATGGGAGGTTGCAAGGGCAGAGGGCAGGGGGCAGAAGTGAGGGGAGAGAGAGATGAGTGGGATTGGAATGCATGGGGTGAAGTCCACAAAGAATCAATAAAAAGTTAAAAAAATACCATTTGACAAAAAATAAGTGCATGCATTACTTTTGTAATATACTAAATATAATGTGTATAATGTACATATATTACATGTGTATAATATATAGTATATAGGTATAATATTATTTTTCAATATAATGAAAAATCTAGATTATCTATCATATGTGAACTTGGCTCTGATGAATTATTAAACACACACACAAATATACATATAGTCATGATCTTAACTCATTTAACAAACACTGAATACTTCCTATGTGTGGGGAAATTCAAAGCCCAATAGTATAGCAATAACCCAAAAGGCTATAGAAGACACATAAACAAGTGAATAAACAGAGTTTGGGGGGATAATATGTTAAGTGCATAAGGAATGGTAGAAATCGACAAGGGCAGAGATTCTATTTTAAATAACAGACACTGATACACTAAAGTATCTGTAGTTATCTCTGGATAAGAGGCAGTTGCTCTTTCCTTATTATATGTAGTAGTCTCCCATTATCCATGGGGGAGTATTTTCTAACACGCCCAGTGAATGCCTGAAACATGAGAGAATATTAACCTTACATAAACTACTTTTCTTTCCATTCAGTGTTACCTTAGGACGTCAATCATAGCAAAAGAGTAACAATGATACTAGTTGTATTGTAATAAAGATGGTATGAATATAGCTTTTCTCCTTGTCTCTCAAAATACTGTACTGTGCATGCCTTTCTTAGGACAATGTGTGGTGACGTAACGCCCACAGGAGCTGTGAAGTGAGGGTGAGGTGAATGATGACGTTGGCATGGGGACACAGTGTTAGCTACTGTGTAAGGCTTACTTAAGCACAAGCACAGTTCCACAGAACGAGTCATCTAATAGCGACACAGGTACAAAGTAAGTGACTGCCAGGTGGGTAACACATACAGAGTGGATACACTGGCTGCCCTTTGAGGAAAGCCAGAAACCTAGATGAAATCTCATTTTAAAACACCTGAAATCAACTAAGACAACATTCCCAAGGTAACCAACTTAAGAGAAGGCCGTGTTGCTTCTGGCTCATAGTTTGACAGGTTTCAGTCCATGGTTGTTTGGCTCTGCAGTTCTTGCATCTGTGTGAAACAGAACATCATGGTATGCAGGCAGCAAAACTTCTGTCTTCGTGGTAACGATTTCCTAAAAGGTTACACTGTCTCCTCACCCCATA